GTAGGCTGTGTGAAGTGATCAACATAGTACACTTTTAGCCAAGTTAATCTCATCTGTCATGGTGCTAATTAATTTTTGGTTCTTGAGCAGGAGCCTGCAAAGAAATGGGAGAACCTGCTGTTGAGCCTAGAGGTTGCTGGTAGTAGACCAGGATTCGAAGGAAACGAGATTGCTCCTTTTGCTGTGGAGAACATTGCAAATCCTTGATTCATATATGGTGGATCACATCAAAGAATGATCAGCACTTTTGTGGAATACTCATGTGGCTGATATATTTTTTTACTATAGTTTGTCTCAGAATTCAATAACTCAGGCAATGTTGCCTTCCGTATAGACTTCTTTGAATTGTATGTCATTCATGCTTGGTTGATTATTATTTATTAATGTGTCATGAGTGCAATAATATAACTTTGAATAATATGTTATTAGTGTGTTCATACCATTTTCAGTACAACAAAACTTTACTTTTGGCTAGAACAGGCAAATACAAATTTCCAAATGTTTTGAACGAACAGTATCTTAGAAAATCTCAAAGCAGTGGCTCAACCCTTAAGGCCTCAAATTGCAAGCAGTTATAACAGTTTTGTATGGACTACGCTTATTAACTGCATCATCATGGTCCTGACCAATTATATGTTTAGCGATATACTGGATCTTCGATCTGGTGGAAACACGACATCCTAAAATAGGTACTTAGACTCTGTTAACTGCTCAATACTAGCAGTCAACTGTTAGATTAATTAGACAAAATGAGTATTAGCTGCTCGACAAAGTTAACCATTTCAAACCAGGACTTTTCTCTTATCCACTAATCAAGTCTACAATATCTAGAGCTTGTACATATTATTTCAACCTGCATAACTTATTAGACAGATATCATTCTACCTCCAATAAACACTTTCTGATATATCAGCTTCTGTCTGCTGCATCATCTCTTCTGATTCAGAAACAGGCTACAGGTCAAGAATGGTGAGTACTTAATTTCAACTTTGTATAAGGTTATTATTTCCAATTAGAGGAGTATCTGACTTTTGAGAATCAAATATCAGTCTAATTGTACTCCCTAGGTTATTACGGCGATTACTAGTATTTAGTAGGTATTAGACTATAGATGATGACATTAAACCTACCACCTTTAGAACTATTCTGAATCGTTCCACTATTGACCTACTCATCAATTAAGTATTAAAGATGTTTTGTTTTCATAGCAATCAGGCATAAAACAATTGTTTCTACTAAAGTTGTTTTTAACAATTGTTAAAGACTTATTAGGCTACCACTTATTTAGTAAAGGCGCCCGTGAATGTCTTAAGAAGAATAGTTTTGGGTAGATTCCACAACCAATGGCACTGAGAAAAGAAAGCATCTTCCTATATTTTTGCTTCTGCTGCTGCATAATCTCTTCTTATTTAGAATCAGACACTCTGAAACAAGGTCATCAACTCAAGGATGGTGAGTACTTGGTTTCGTTAGGCAAAGTATTCACATTAGGATTCTTCAACCCACAAGAAGAGAGGGTAATCGGATACTTTAATCCAGAAAATACACAAAACTGCTTCATCGGCATCTGGTACACTTATGATTAAAGATAAGAGGCCAGTATGGATTGCAAACCGAAACAATCCCATTTCTAGGAATTATGGAGCACTTGCAATCAACAGCAATGGTGACTTCAAGATATTAGATAGAGGTTTGACACACATATTGTTGAAGGCCAATCAAGGAGCTTCCAGAAGAGTGGCAGTGCTTACAGATACCGGCAACTTTGTGTTACAAGAGCTGAATTCAGATGGCTCGGTAAGAGACAAAAAACTGTGGCAGAGCTTTGATTATCCAACTGACACACTTCTTATTGGTATGAAACTAGGATATAACTTCAAAACTGGGAAAAATTGGTCATTGACCTCATGGGTAAGTGATGAATTTCCTGCAGCGGGGCCTTTCACACTCGGTATAGACCCCAGCGGAACCAGCCAGTTGATCTTGTGGATAAGAGAGGATATTCAATGGAGGAGTGGCATTTGGAGCAATGGGAAATTCCCAAATCTCAAAGACTACCTTTTTAAGTTCGATTATGTCTCAAATGATGAAGAGAAATACTTCACCTTATCTGCAGAGAACGCCTGGGATATTGATTTCTCAATGTATCATATATATAGGGAAGGTGCAATACTTCATTATGACACCTCGACATCAGACAGATTGGAGTACAGCCAGTACTCGAGATCACGATCAAATACACACAATTCTCTGACCACTGTTGTTGACTGCAGAGAGGCCAGAAACTACAAATCCTATCCTGGATGCGTAAAGCAGCAGCTTCCAGAATGCCGGAATGAAAGCTGGTTTGAAAGTAGCAGGGGCTATGTGCTATCTGAAGGCACCATGTACGAAAAAAGAAACCAAATTTTGGGTGTGGCTGATTGTGAGGTTAGGTGCTTGAGCAACTGTTCCTGTGTTGCTTACGCTTTTATCTACCCCAATCGAACTGGATGTGAGCTCTGGACTAACATTACTCAGTTACTAGAAAATGGACAGGCATACTCTTCTCGCAGGGAATTTTACATTCAAAGACAACATTACAGGGGTAAAACTAACATTTTCTCAACCACTTTTTAAACTATCAGCATTTAGAACGTAGGGAGGAGATGAAATTCTACTGCAATATTTTTCTAGTCTCTTCAACTGTAGTTAAAAGTGTAGCTTAATTAGATTTGGTTTTGTTACAGAAGAAAAGAGTTCACTTTTGTGGTTGTGGCTTATAATAGCAACAGCTACCTTTCTGCTGCTCCTGGCAGTATCATGGATAGGCTATCGCCAGAAAAGGGCACTGCTCAGTATAGCACGATGTTTTCGCCTGATAGGTTATGTTGTACGACGAAACCTCACAGCTCATCTTCAACATTTGTATAATCGCCATCGCAGAAGTCTCGAAACATTTCTGAATTACAAACAACCCACTAAAACCTTACAGAACTATGTGCTCTACTGATGCAGCTTTGTTTTATTTCCATGCTACACAGGAGCAAGTCAAATAGAGGAGAAGATGTCGCTTACAGAGATAGGTTCCAGTGTTGGACACTCCAAAAGATTTCGAAGGAAAAGAAAGCTCACCATTGGCAAGAACCATGGAATACATGTATTCAGCTTTGAAAGCATAGTTCAAGCAACTGATAACTTTTCACCTTCAAATAGGCTTGGACAAGGAGGATATGGGGTAGTATACAAGGTAGTTAAAAACTCTGAATGCTCCATTTATATATTTCTTTCCAAGTTAATGCAGTAAAACATTTGCACTTAATATATCAGGGTACATTAGCAGATAATCAAGAGATAGCAATAAAGAGACTGTCTAGAGCATCAAAGCAGGGCAGATTGGAGTTCATGAATGAGGTTAAGCTTGTTGCCAAAATACAACACACCAATCTAGTTAAGCTCATAGGATGCTGCATTGAGCAAGGAGAGAAGATATTGGTATATGAATACATGGAGAACAAAAGCTTGGACTATTTCCTATTTGGTTAGTGATTTAAACAATAATAACTAAACATATTTCGGAATTTCCAGTAATACTATAGCTGCTAAATTCTTGTACTTCGTAATTGATTCATCACATTTGTATCTTGATTCATGACAGATTCAGACAGAAAATTGCTTCTTAACTGGAAGATGCGTTTCAACATAATCGAGGGAGTAGCTCAAGGACTCCTCTACCTTCACAAATATTCACGATCGAAGATAATTCACCGAGACTTGAAAACAGGAAATATATTACTTGATCAGGAGATGAATCCAAAAATCTCAGATTTCGGTATGGCTAGACTCTTTCAGCATAATGAATCAGGAGCAAATACCAGCAGATTAGTTGGGACACTGTAAGTAAACTGAATACACCAATGCCTGAATTCTCAACTCATTTAAGACCATAAACGCTACTTATTTTCCTCTCTTCGTGCAGTGGTTATATGTCACCAGAATATGCAATGGAGGGATATGTTTCAGTCAAGTCTGATGTTTTTAGCTTTGGGATATTAGTGTTAGAGATAATCAGCAGCAAGAAGAACAATGACTCTTACTGCTCAGAACGCCCACTCAACCTTATTGGTTATGTAAGTTCCCGATCAACCTTGTGAAACTCAAGCTATTATACAGACTAACCAGATTTTCTTAAATTGATTTGTGTTCTTCAGGTATGGGAGCTGTGGACAGAGAATAGAGGTTCGGAGCTGATTGACCAAGCCTCAATTTTGGACAATCACAACCACGAAGAAGCAATGAAATGCATTAACGTCGGTCTCTTATGTGTGCAAGAGAACCCTGCTGACAGACCCACCATGTCAACTGTTGTAACTATGATCGCCAATGAGCTTATCAACTCCCTCAACCAAAGAAACCGGCATTTTTCATAGGCAAGGGTTTATTACAGGCAGAGCATCCCCAATACGATCTACAGCAGGGTTCCTTGAACAGTGCATCGATTTCAGAGATGGGAGCTCGGTAAACCTATGCCATTCAGCAACTTCTACTTTGTTGATTGTACAAAATGATCAACCCAGAGTGACCAAGTATTTGTTAATAATTGCAAGGAACCTCTATACTTGAAAATTATGTAATAGTCAGATTAGTCACAATATTGCCATACTCAGATGAAATATACCCCTGTTCTTTTAAATGTTCTCGTTTAGAATTTTGCAACTATTCACAATTTTAGATTACTGACGAACTACTTGCTTGCCTTTGGTTAACTACTAGTCTACTATGAAGCACTCTTCTAAATTAATCTCAATATATAAAGGGAAAAAAAATAATCATGTGAGATCTTATTCGATTTGTCTCAATACGTGTTTTAAATAAGGGTAATATCAAGTTTTTATACTTGTAATACTGATACGAAGTACATAACTAAAGATATACTGTAAATGGTTAAAGATGAGCATTGGCAAACATACATAATCAAAATAGTTTATCAAAAAGAAAGAAAGGGAACAGCTGTTATGATATAGAGAAACAGTTTACACGCTCACATGCTCCACGGGTCATAAAAATAAACAATTTTCACAAGGACATAGAATTGTATATAAACTTGTCTCCAAATAATAAAATCTTCTTTATAAATCCAGCAAACCATATTAAAAACTAGAAGCAAAACACACTAAGCAACAATGTTCTTAAAATGGACTCCTCAATATAATCTTCAGACTAAAGAGCTACTAAAAGCACAATTAATGTCTCTAAAACTGCCTCACATGTCTATTTTTACAGAGTTCCAATAGCCAGAAGGGGAACATTTTTTATACTAGTGAAAAGTTCATGCAATGCTAAGTATTTGCTTGGAGACACATTAGAGGCGTACTCGTTAAATTGCTGCTTGCAGGGCAGAGAAACTGATCTGACCCAAGTGCCTGACTGTAAGATAAGAATTAAAAAGAGAAAGTCCATCAAATCAGGTTAAGTGAGGTCATATAAAAGCTCGAATATCAATGAACATGGATCAATTCACATTCTGTTGAACTCATTAGGGATTTTCTAAACCCATGGCATACCTGGTACTACCGGGGTGAAATGGACCTTGACCGTGACTTGGAGGGGGATCTTGACTTGGATCTAGACTTTGGCCTGCATATTGGTGAAAATTTGAGAAAGAATGCTTAACAATATTTAGGACAACGGTGAGTCAAATCCTTGCATAATCAAGTGTACTCCGTATTACCTGGTTAATTTCACAGGAGATGCAGACCTTGATCTAGATGGTGATCTTGACACTGACCTTTCCAGCGATTTGCTGCAGAGAAATTCAAAAGCAAAATAAACAACCGCATGCAACCTAAGTCATAAGAAGTGGGAGGTAGATATAGATAACAATACTAATAGTAATTATATACTTCGTACTTTGCAACATCAAACAGAGCATAGTATTGCCATATATCTCATCTTAATACCACTTTGTGCATATAATTACAAAGCCTATATAGCCTTGAATACTACAAATAACAAATACCCAAGAAAGAGTTGAAATTTTTTTTATTAAAAAAAAAAAAGGCTTACCTTCTACTCTTTTTCGGGCTTCTACTCCTGCTGCGGCTCCTACTTGGGCTTCTGTCATACCTCTTCACCTGCAATGACACAGAGCCATATCTTAATACCAAGAAGAGAAAAAAAAAACTTACATCCCTCCCATGGAACATTGCTATTGTTGACAAAAATTATTACTAGACTTTACAAGCTACAGGAAACTTAAGTGTGACACAATCCAGATCCTTGAGTATTATATCCAAGTAGAAGCAATAGTTTTACAGAAAAAACAGGAAAGATGGCCATACTATTTTAATAGAGGAGCCTCATTGCCTCAGTGATTACGAAGGCTGTTGTCGACATACAAAGTAGAGTACATAATTGGACATATACAAAAAACAGCAAGGTGCAGAAATTGATAGGTAAGGAAAACAAGAGATCAAAAGTTGTCCTCAGAACACATAAATCATCTAAGAGAAAGTCACTCACCCGGATATAAGATTTTGCCCAAGGGTTTTTGAATTCAGTGTCATCCAGTTTCCGGATCTAATAAAAAGTCATCATTAACAGCATCAAAGCTACGTATGGAAAAGCAGTATATGAAAGAATTCTAGACCCAGGATCCAATCAATCCACTATAAAACTTACAGCATATTTCATGTCTTCAGAATTGGTATAGTCAACCAAGCCAAAGGTTCCTGTAAAAAACTAATATTTGAGGAGACAGAAGGAAGCATAGCTTAAAAGAATTAAACAAGTAACAATCCAATTGTAGCACACGCATAATCTAGACAGATTCAAAAAGGCAGATTCATCAATTTCCTTCATTACAATATCCTTTGACATCAGAAATTTCCTAAATTCAATGACTGGAAAAGCATTTCAACTCAACTAAATTTCTGCTTCAGCAAATTAAAGACCTCAGAGGGTTCGAACAGAGATCTAAATACACTCTCGTGTGCATTCAGCTCTATGCACAGAAATATTCCATTTTTATAACACCAAGTCAATTTACGGTCCTCACTAATAGAAAGGGTATCATATCATCACATTAAAAAGCAAAGTACAAATCTGCTATTAGGATTTATGTGTTACAAAGGATCTGCAGAACAAAGCATGCAAGGTAGCATTTCCTTTTAAACCTCAGTGTCTAAGACCCACTAACAAGGATATCATACATAACATATCATTTGTCCTTTTCTTAGCATAAACAGCAGCAAATAATTCAGGCAATACCTTCACTGTCACGTGAAACTTCAGCAAAGCACACGTCACCAGCTTTTCGCATGTGATCCTATGATAGAACCAAATGTTAAGATGGAAAACTTAGCTTGTGATAAGTTTGACATAGCTTATCAGTATGACAAAGTCAGAAAAACACCTTTAAATCCTGCCATGATGCAGATGATGGAAGCCCACGGACAATGACTGCATGTCAAGTGCAGATTTTCAATTACTTTATTCAAAAGTGAAGACTTTATAAACAAGATTTCCCAAGGTAACTCTGAGATTAAGCGTAACACATAGATTGACCCTGCTATGTTTGTGAATCCTGAGGTGACCCTGAGGCCACTATTTTTATCAAATTGACCTTAATGATGAGGGAAGGGTGACATATTTTGGAATAAATTCAAAGAGAAAAAACCCAAAACCCACTTTCTCTCCTCTCCTTTTCCCAGCCCTCTCTCTCCTCTTCCTCCACTCTGCCTTCCTCACTCCCTAGATCTCTCACACCAAAAAAAACACCAGTTCGTTATCAGACATTAAAAACCTAAATTGCTAGGTCTAAGAAATTAAAGAGTAAAATTTTCCAGGATATTTAAAGGCTTGAAAGAGTTGAAGAAGGCATATTCTTTGCTAAAAGAAAGGGAATGAAGAAGACACAAAGAAATGGGAAGAGGAGAGAAAACGGATGGAAGGGGATGAGAGAAAGTGAGTAAAGATGAGAGTAGCTTTTGGGTCTTTTTTTTTTTTTTTTCCTTTTGGAATTTTTTATTGGCATATGTCATTACCCATCCTTCATCAAAAGTCATTTTGATATCTTTTTTTTTTCAAAAGGACAGAACCTATAAGAGTATTATGTATACACTTAATTTCAGGGTTACCATGAAAAATATATAAACAGACCTCGATACTCAGTATGGCGCGATGCACCATAACGCCCTCCAGCACGACGTTCACTAGCAGATGATGATCCTGATCCTCGCCCACCATGTGCGAGTTCAACCTATATATGTCCAGCCATGTAAGAAATCAAATGTGTAACTTATAATATGAAAGTAGGCAATCAAATTATTACCCTTAGGCAACAGCCATCGAAGTTGTAGCCATCACGTCCCCTAATTGCATCTTCAGCATCTCGGGAACTCTCAAACTATCAATTCAATGCATATAGCTCAAGGTTACAAGGACCAAGCATTAACGTAACCAGTTGGATTTATTAAAATAAAAAAAATAAAAAATAAAAAAAAACAATTAAAAAATAAACAAAGGGATCACCTCCACAAAGCAGAAACAAGGAGGTCGAGGTGGAACTTTTAATTCAACATCCAAAATACGACCATACTGCACCAAAGAAAACAAACAACTGTGATGATGCAAGCAGATATTTATATGTTGCACTTCACTGACTGACATAGACCACTGCACTTTTTTTTTTGAAACAACATAGACCACTGCACTTGACTGAAGTCAACATGCATGTACAGGATGAGGATACTGTGCAAATTTGTTAGAATAGAAACTGGAGAATTTGATGAAACAGATAAAGCAACATGATCAACAAAAACAGTCAGCAGAAATCTACTCTACAAACTTCAAAAGCTTGACCCAATCAACAGCAAAGGACGATAAAAAAGCCCAAAAAACAAAAAACTTCATACATGTATGAATAAGCAAGGCTAGTTATAGGTTATAAACCTATAATTTACACATGACCTTGCAGTGAGCATAGAGAACATAGGGATATGATGCAGGGGGCAAATGGAAATAAGTTGTTCAGCTCCACATAGGGGGCACAGGAATAGAAGTTCAAAACCAAACCTTGTAGAACAGATCTTCAATCTCATGTTCTTTGATATCGGAAGGTAAGTTACCAACATAGATGGTGCGAGAGAAACGGCTACTCATTTGTATTGCTTCGTCACTCTACTCACAAATTCTCTGCAAACACAAATGATATGTGAGTCAAAAAAATAATGTTTAAGATTCACAAAACATGGTTAATCTAAGGAGCCGTTGATTTCAATTTCATGCAATTAATTTCACAATAGCTGAAACAAGTCAAAGCTAAAACCATGAAGCAAACCAAGAGAGCAATCCTTGAGGTGAGCGATGCTCCATAAGCTCCATTGCTCATATGCTCCAAGAGGCTCCAAAGCTAATATATATTTGATATTTATTTGATCGCCAATGCTTTCTCAAGTTTTTGCAGATGCATAGTTCTCCAAAGAATGAGCAAAGTTCTCCCTTATTTTATTATAAAAATTCCATTACTCCACCCAGTTCTCCCACTCCCCCTCTCTACATCCCTATGAATTCCAAAGCTCATATTTGTCCATGCGCTGGTCATCTACCATAAAGAAAGCATATGTGTCATGAGATGGAAAGCTTAGCACATTTCTAAGCATTTGCCTTACTGAGATTCTTTTTTCCAGCCATATCATGAAAAACCCCAGGTCATTAACAAAAGAACGAGTCTTCAAAAGTAGTTGCTAACTAAAATTAGGTCTGAGCCCCAGTATAAAACATGAAGCAAGAGCATTACAAATCTTTAATTCTGAAACTTCACACGTAAAAACCAAAGAAGAGTGTCAGATTTACAGGAACATGGAACAGGTTTTGCAATGATTAAGATCTACTGCATACTTTCTAGCAAAAACATCTGATCACCTTTTGTAAAAAGAAGACATAAGTCAAAAGCAGATGAAGGCAGAGGGTTAAAGTCACACTGTCAAACAATTGAATCCACAAAAAAAAAGGATGCTGGTTGGAAAGGGTCCGTTAACCAATTAAAGGTACCAAAATACGTTGTTATCATTACATAAGATTCTATAATTCATTAAAAAGCATAGAATCGATGAGTATTGTGCTACCAATTACCAGTACCGTTGAAGTTAATTAGTAATATTATTGCTCAAGACCTATCCCCCACTAGTATATTAGTATATCTTTAAAAAAGCGCGGGGGGGGGGGGGTGTGCAGGAAACTCATAAGAATTTCCAAATTGACAGCAAAATGAATGTCATAAAACTGAGTGATCTATTGAAGCATACGCTTTCCTGTATCCACACCCCCACGCCCCTAAATTAAAAGTTTGTGTGATTTGAAGGAAGAAAAATGGAGATTTTCTAACAAAAACTCTTAAAAATGCAGACTTCAAAGAAAAACAGCTCATGACAAGGAGAGAGACACCCAAATGAAGCCAAGTGTCTCTGAGAAAAAATCTGCTAGGGACAAAGAGACATGAAAAGTCAGTGCAAAGTGTAAATGGAAAAGCCTAAGAAATAAAACATGGAACAAAGTGTTCCATACATAGCATCAGGGGTTGAATGGTAAGGAGCAACCCAAGTACAAGGACTGGTGATGTACTTAACAATATTACCCTTGGAATGGCACTCCATTTCATAAAATCACTTTGCCCAAATTAATTCAAGTCCAAGCAATGAAAAGTAAACTTAACCCTCTATTCATAAATTAAACTCATAGCCGCGTATATTATTTTGCAATGTCCACACAAATCTTTCACCTTTCTAAACTACTATTGGACTACAATCAGTCTCCTACAATACCCTCACTATAGGTTGTGACAACAAAAGAATGAGGATAACACAGCACAATGTTAAAGGAAAATAAACCCTTAAGTTATTGGAATGACATAAGTGCATTACACCTAAACACGAGCTATTGAAATGAAACCAAATCAATCAAAGCGAAACCAATATAGCTGGAAATGCAGGACATCTATGTTCATCATTGCTAATAAATTTCAAACAATAGCCTCTTGACTCTTATAGTAGGCTAAGACTTAATAACTCTTTCCTCCACAACTTCTCCCCAACAATGCCGGAGTGGCGCCCCGCAACCCAAATAAGGCGGCAGTTCGAGTACGGCCCGGGCTTCGGGCACACCTGGGGTGGTTTTGGGCAGCTTGAGCTCCACCCTTCCGGCTTTCCCCCAAAATAATTTCACAAACTAAAACCCTAATGCTTAATTTACATATCCAAATCCAATATAATTAACTACCCAAAAAGCAAATATAGTACATCAGATTATCAGAAGCAGAATTTTCTAAAAAAAAGTCACACAATACCTTGCAAGTTCTACCCAACTAGAGAGCTAAATCTGAAGCAAAATCTGCTCAAATAATTTCTAAACAAAACGAAATTGAGAAATAAAAGGGTACGAAATTGAAGGAAATACCAGAACAGGGGGAAGCAGAAGTTGAGTGAGGGAAGACTAAACCCTAAGTTTGAGCGTCGGAGTCAAAGGTTGACTGATTTCAGCAGCAGAAGTAATAGCGGATTTTGCAGAAGATGGTTGACAAAGGAGAGAGGCTACGCACTCCGCAGTAGTGTGGGATTCTTGAATCTTTTGACCTTGCTTGCGATTAACTTGTAGCCTTGTAGGCAGTCTAGGCACTCGTAGAGTCATAGACTCGTAGTCTGTGCCAACGTTGAGGGCTCAAACTTCGCATTGCTCCGTATGAACTATAAGTGTTGACTTTTGATGAGTTTAATGATGCCCTCAACACTCTATAAGCTTTTAGTCTAACAGAGTGTCGCTCCGTATGGACCATAAGTGTTAACTTTAATGATACCCTTAATAGTGCATCTTGCCGTCTTCATCTTACCGTACACCAAAAAAGGCTTAACCCTTTAATTTGAGCTAGATTAACCTATGAAAGGTTTCGACCTGCTAGGGCCTACTACCTACGTCTCCTCTTTCTTACCTAAAAAAAACCCTACCACTTACAAACGAGCTGAAATAATGAATTTAATCACATTCACGTATCCCTAACTAAAATACATGCTATAAAACTTTTACTTCTGTAGGACTGTAATAATATGATGGTAACTTTGTACTCATACTAGATTTTTTCGGTTGGTAAGGAGAAAAATTATATTGAACCAGGACCTTATACAGGTCCACCTTGTCTAGGTCAGCAGGCTAGTCCATTTGAGAGTAAGGGAGAAGATAGGAGAATCTTCATCCCAAAAAGCCACTAGTGAAGTTTGATTTCATGCTTTATTGGTTGTGAAATGCAAACTTACATAAACTTTTTTTGCTAGATTTACAGTTTTAGACACTTAATGCAATCTTAAATTTGAAAAGGTTAAAAGCTTACTTTATTCATATGGAAACACAACAAATAAGTTAAATTAAACTAATACTCTATGTAGTAATACATATCTCACGTACAAACTGAAAATGTTTAAAAATACGAACTACTAGTATACAAGTAGTTTTAAATTTGGACCACCTACTATGTTACAATATATTTATAGTATTCCGTATAATTTAGAAATAAATGACAAAATTAGCATCAATCAATAATATACTCCATACTTCATAAGAGTAATATTTAAAATTTTGGCATATAATAAATTTTAAGTCAATATTCCTCAAATACGCCTTTTTTTGTTTTTACCAAAATTCTCATTATACCTTCTATATCGGTACTATATCAACAAGGAATTCGAGCACTTCTTTTTAGTGAGCTAACATAAAACCATTGACTTCCGTTTGGTATAGCTGTAGTTTATTGTTTTTTGGTTTTTTAAATCATATGATATATGTCACATAATAAATCAAAACTTGGTCAAACTTATTAAAAGCATGATAATTTGAAAAACTAACAACAGAAAAGTAAAAACAACGTTTTCGAGTTGCCTATTTTGGTTTTTTGTTTTCTAAAACATAGAAAATTGAAAACGGAAAACAGTTTCAAACAAGCTCATAATTAGCGATTAAAATAGATCAACCGCTTATTGATGAGGTTTTTTTTTTTCTTTCGGTAAGATACGAGGGTTCCCTCACCCTATCAAACTGGAATGGGGGGATGAGGATCGAAACCCCAACCACTCCGCAAGCCTACTCTAGCACATTGAAGACTAATTTTTTGATTTTTTAAGGCTAAATTAGAAAGGAAAAATTGGCCGCAACAGCACAAACTACGATGAAGGTGCATGTAGTAACACAACCTTTCAAGGGTGCACTCAATATAACAAACTATGCATTTGGGTGCACATAATAGCATAAATGACATTGGTAAAACTTAAATTTCTTGGGAAAGTGGAATCTTCAGTATTTATACGGAGTAGTACCTTTTATACATTTTTTTATATATTTTTTTGTTTAATTCCATGCTACTTAATTTTCCATCTCACATGACTAAGTAGTCTTCTCTTCCATTAATTGCTTTACTTTAAACACTAGTCTATTTTCACCATTAAAGTGGATAATTTCAAAAAAAATTCGCCATCATTTTCTATCATTTGCTTCTTCAACTACTTTTTTTCACATCTCTTGTGATTGACTTAGTTTCCAATTCCACGGTATTATTTTATTTATTTTTCCTTTAAATATTCTCTCTCACAACCTCCACAATTAAATTGTTGTACATCAAAAACAAAAACAAAAACAAAAACAAAAACAAAAACAAAAAAAAAAAAAAAAGAATTTGGCCTATCATAAAATCTTAATTCTAAAATTGTTGTTTGAATTAATTATTTTGAAGCATTTTGTGGGGCTTTGTAATAGATGGTGACTTATGTATCTTAAAATTTGGTGGAATGAAATGGTTTTCGGATGATTTATTAATTTATCAATTTAGTATTTGACTAAGTGCAGAGGGAGAGGAAACTAAGTCAATCGGATCACGAGAGATCAATTTAAAAAAAAAAAAAAAGAATTGAAGAAGCAAACGAAAGAAAATATATAATAACAAAAACTTTTTGAAGGAATCCACTTAAATGGTGGAGGTTAAGAATTGTTTAATTGAAAATAATCAATAGAAGAAAAGACTAACATAGTCACGCGTGATGGAAAATCATTTAAGTTTATATAATATTGAAACAATTATAAAATAATGAAGATTCCATTTTTTTTCCATGGAATCTTAGCTCATTGGTGTAATTTTTGCTTTATGTGCACCAAATGACATAGTTTGTGATGTAGATTGCACCCTAGGTTGTGCTGCTACACGCACATTTATCATAGTTGGTGTTGTTGGCCAATTTTTCCAATTAAAAAAATATTAATATTGTAGAAGTAGGTCAAGTAAAAAGTGAACATCCAACCTAAACTCTCTGACACAAAATTGCCTCCCACAGGTTTCGAACTAGGGTTTCACTTCACTCTTAACCAAACACTGCTACTCAATTTCTCACCCTATTCTTTTCCCGGATTTTGATCCCTCCAATTTTCTCGTCGTAAATTCGCCGGGAATTTCAAATGTCGCCGGCGACTCCTTTTCAAGTCGCCTCCCTTATTAACCCACCGTCGTTTCCGAACTCCGTCGTTTGGTCCGACGATAACTTAATCGCCGTCGCTACTGGCGACATTGTCACTATCCTGGTATTTTTTTTTTTTTATAATTTCTATTTTGTTGAATTTCTTGAAAATAAAAGAGTTGAATTTGATGAAATTTGGTTGAATTACTTTTTCAGAATCCAGAACATCCTCAAAGTCCTCGAGGTGTGATCACACTTACTCCTGGAAAACCTTTTCCAATTGGTGTTATTGATAAAGCAGGTAATCACATTTTCAATTATACTCAATTGCTAATTGTTTAATTTCATATTTTCATGCTATATATAATCATCTTTAAAATAATCATATGTTTAATTTCTCTATGCTTGTAGAATTGATATTTAAATTTGGTGTTAGTACTGAAATTGCATTAAAGATGATGAACTATAGCTTTTGGCTTTGCTCTGCTTGGTTCGTTGAGCTCGGGAAACTTTATGTTGATGCTACAAAAATTGTGATAAAATTTTGCAGATTTGCTCTCTGGTTGCTTATTACCCACTTGTTTATCACGAGATCGTCAACCTTGTGTTCGATCACTTTCATGGTCGCCTGTTGGATTCACTCGTCACAATGGGTATCAAAGCATTTCATTTTAAGTGTCTTACAATGGGTTATGTTTGTATCAGTGTGTTATATGGCTTTTTCTATTTTTATTATTTTTTTAACTTTAAACTTGGGTTATTGGATATCATATGTATTTGTTGGCAATTGTTTTTATCACTTTCCAGATGCTTGCTTGCTGTTTGCTCTGCTGAAGGGCTTGTGAAGGTGTACCGCCAACCATATTGTGAGTTCCAAGCTGATTGGATAGAGGTATGCTAATAGTCAATTTGAAAGGGCTGTCCTTGATAAGTTATATAGCTGCAAAAGAGTGACTTTCTTTATTTTAAAAAAAAAAAAGATAGAAAGAGATGGAAAAAATTAGTCTACCATTTGAGTTCCTATAATTTATCTGTTGGGTAATTGGGTTAGTAAAATTCATAGAGACAGAACAGCAAGAAGGTCTACCATTCATGGCATTGGGGCAAACCAGCACGAAGCATGAATTCACAATTTTTGTCACTCCCAAGCACATATGAAGGCATGGCCCAAGGTTCTTGGGAAATGGCATGTCGTTACATTAATACTAAATTACAAAGATAACTTCTATCAAATTAAAAAATTTCCATTCAATGTTTTTTTTTTTTTTTAATAAATTATAATAAAAGAAAATCATAGTCCAGGCTACTAGGGTCTTACATGATTTTAGTCCTGTCAAGTGTCAACCTTGTATTTGCAACTTGCAACAAGGTGATCAACATATTCATAATTCATCCTCATTGCTAAATGAGATGTAGTTGGAGGAAATGGATAGTCTGGATAGCCCTAAGAGGTCTCCAGGTCCTTTCTTTGAATACTTATTGTTTAGAACTCTTAAGATAAGTTGTTTCATGACATTGTTTCCCAGGTAATGGACATCTCAGACATGATGCATGCATATTTTGCTAAGATCAATTATGGGGAGCCTGAAGCTCCCTCATCGGCCGTGTTTGATGTGAGTTAGTTTTGCTTTTGTTTAATCAGATTTCCTTCTGTTTTTTTGTAAAACAATTTCATTTATAATCTTTTCAGTGTGTACTTTTCCATCATGCTGACTAGGATTCAGCTGGTCGAACAAGAGTTGAAAAAACTACTGCTGCTGATCAAACAAATTTCAGTTTAAGAAGCCACCATAAAAGAAAAAGGGAGTATGTGCCTTTTTCTCTCTGTCTGGTGTAGTGTTTTTATTGAATACGGTTCCTTGGCTTTACTTTTCCTCTTCATTTCTGTTCCTAGACTACTTTCATGCATGACCTGTTAAAATGTGAAATTTTCTTTGTGGGATTTAAGAAGTTGTTTAATAAGTCACTTTTTTGGGACAAATTTCTTCCACATGTGTATTGTCTTTATGATCTTTATTGATTGGATCCTTTACTGAAGCAAGGACTGCAATCATCTAGGAAAGATTGATGTTACAAATGCTGACTCTCTTTGTGACAGTCATGCAGTGAAAGCTGTGGCAGAGTCGGTCATTTTTCGAAGTTCAGATTTGGAAGAGAATTCCTCGGTGGAGGTGCACAGCATTTTCATTTGTGATTTTCCTTGAATATATTATCTTCTTACCAATTGAAACCGCTTACATGCAGATATTGAATGTATAGGTCTTCAAAATGGATGGTGAACAGAATGTCTGGGTTGTTGGCACGTTGCAGCGTTTAGAAGGTCCAATGGCCCTTGTCCAGTTTCATGAAACTAATACAAGTGGTATTTTTTTTTTCTTTTAATATTTTGTACTTAAAATAGTTAAATGTACTATTTATTTATTTAAGCTGAATGATTTTTATATGTTCTCTTAGAATCTCAATGCTGTATTGCTTTACCTTAGGAGAACCAGAGTGGCTCAGGGTGGATAATGAAAGCAATCTTCCCACCAACCAACCCAATGATCCGGGCGTACCTACAACTAATGGGAACTGCGGTTTCCCTAAAGTTCGTCCTTTGATTAATGTGGGTCGTCTTTCTGAACAAATATTATTGGCCGATCATAGTCAAGGTGAAATTTTAAAAGCTGGGCAACCGGTTGAAGCCTGGAGTAGAGATAGGTAATATTAGATGGTGTCCTCTAGAGTTATGTCTCTGGTAATATATACACGTGCTTATTGCTCTATTTGTTCAACAATAAACAAAATGCCATTCAAAATCCTTGTTATGAGTTCAAATATTCCGGGAGTTTTCTAAACACTGACTGGATGTAAGTGACCATGACCTTGTTAGTGAAGCTATATTTGCCTAGTTGCCTTATGTATTTTTTATGATGTAAATTGATTGGTGGGTAAAACCCACGATTTAATAGCATTATTGGAACTAGGTAATGTGTATTTACTTCCAACTTAATTTTACACGTGTAAGAAGAATGTTTACTACCAGAAACTAACTATGATAAGTACTTCCAAAATTATTTACTGGATGATACTCACTATGTTAAAAAAACTTCTATAATAGTCATGAACAATTCAGTTTAATTCCTCTATAAAGTAATTTAACATATATGTCATTTATCCAGTATTTGTCTTTTGATTTTGCTGTGTAAACTATAAAATTGATCAGAGCTTTCAATGTTGTCCCGAGTCACATATATCTCATCTGAAGCAGCTCACTTTTGTCAGTAAAACAAATTGCTTATGTTTATTATTATTGCAGGTGGGTTGGAGGAGTTTTTGTGGATTTCTCTAATAAAGGCTTACTGGTCAAATTTAGTGGTATGTTCATGATTTGTACTCTTCAGGTCAATTTTAATGAGTTACTGGCATTTAATGTTGTATTGGTCATATATCTACTTCTGCTATAACTAGTGAAAGTGTTTATTGTAATACGCTCAGAAGACTAAATCTTAGTCTTCAGAGATGAGGTATTAACTACTCCGTATTAAGCAGTGACTGTATGAGATGATGGACTATTGAAAGTTGTCTAGACTCAAGGGGAAGAATATTTATGGTGAATGTGTGAATCAATGTATCTTAGTAGTGTTATATCCTGAAGGAGGTGTAAAATTACAGCTCATATAAATATTCAAGAGATGTTAATATTATAGTGGATTGGACAAGTTTATTACTTTTTATATTCTATGAGATATGTGCGTAAGATAGTGTTAAGGAGATGCTGTGGAGGAGGGTGGAATGGACCGCTTGATCTCATGCTTTATTGGTTGTGAATGCTTTATCTTTTAAAAATTAGACTGTGAATCAATCCAACTCCGCTCTTATGTTTTCAGAAATGACTTTTTCAAGTTTTTTCTACACTTGATCAGGAGATGCTGAAGCTGTGGCATTAAATCCTAGTGACGTTAGGTTAGCACCCATGTGGATTGCAGAAGAAAAATCATGGAAGGTTACTGTTGTCCAGTTACATGTGCAGGATTCATCAGAGGTATTGTATTCCTTCTATCAGTCTCATATTTTCTTTGATTTTACATATTAGCATGGAGTCTTTATGTTTATATTAGCTTCCATCTTTAGGTGTTTGTTTTGCAGTTAATGATGCACTTGAATATTTTGGCAGGTGGTGGTGAAGGGAAGTGGCTATGGGAAAGTAAACACCTCTTCTGAAAATGTTTCTGTAGCCAAAGATGGAATGACTTCCTCTAAAAAGACTCCAAATGACCATTCTAATTGTCGTTTGACTGCTCATCAATATGCTTCACGCTCTTCAATGCTGGCATCGCTTGTTGTTGCATGGTCTCCGCAGCTGCATTTGTCTGCAACAGATCCCGAGAATATTTGTGATTGCTCCTGTTTATTAGCTGTTGGAACTAAGTCTGGAGGTATTTCAATCTGGAGGATTCATAGATCAGCATACTACTCTGTTGAGCATAGTTATAGTAATGATCCGATAAACATGGATTTTATGGGAGTCATTCAGGCTCATGATGCATGGGTCACTGCCTTGAGTTGGGGCTTTCTTGTCTCTGATTCAAATTCGCAGGTTCTATTGGCTTCTGGTTGTTGTGATGGCAGGTAGGTTCTGTTTGCGCCATGATTACGCTACTTGCATAGTTGTATATGAGTACATGTGATAAGCAAATTGAATGGCTTTTCAGTGTAAAAATCTGGAGTGCACGTGTCTGTGATATCATAAAGTTGTCCGAAACTGACCAGACTCCCTTCTCTCTAATTAATGAGGTACATTTCACTAATTCCACATTTGATGATCACAAATGTAGCTGTATCTTGAGCGTTACGTTGACTAGATTCTTCTCTTTTAATAGGTTACCTCTGGTGATAATGTACTAGTGTCAGTAATTTCTCTGTATGTTCCAGTTCAATCTCCAAGGAAGATTCTGTTAGCTGTCGGAAAAGGATCGGGGTCATTAGAAGTATGGACATGTAATACAAAGGCCAAGAGAACAATTAAAGTTGGATCATATGGTGCTCATGTCCAAGCTGTAAGTTTATTCCTTCGATTGAATTCACCATTAAGAAATGGAAGAATTTTACTCATGCTTTACAACTTTCAGGTCACAGGTTTAGCTTGGGCTTTTGATGGACACTGTTTATATAGTTGCAGTCAGGTAATGGTTTAATAAAATGCTTATGAATTCATGATTAATTTTTTCTACTCAGGAAGCCTTTTTGACTCTCTTTGCTTGATTTCATCAAGTTATCCTAATCGTGTTAAGAAGCATATATGCTGTTCTATACTTGTGATGAAATTTGTCATGGAGTGATTGCCTATGAGGTTATGTGAATTGTGGAAAGAAGAAAAAACTTGTCTACTCCTAGGCCTAATATGTTTGTTGGGATTGCATTGTCCGTATTGTTTGGCTGGTCACTGGTATGTTATATCAAGTTTCTTTATTTATTGTGTATGTGTGTGGCAGTTGGGGGGAGGGGGCTAGGTCCGTTCTAGAGGACGTGAAGTACCAATATTTCCCATTAATTTGTCATGGGGTTGTCATTTTGCTATGTTCTATTTTTAGTGTATTGACCAAATAATATACAATGAAATTATTTCATTTAATTTCATGCTTGTGAAGTTTTAACTTCCATGGATTTATTACTTATAAGGGATGTTGTTTAACTTGTTGGACCAAACAACACATCGATGCTAAGATGCTACTGAAAGGTAGGAGAACTTAATCCAGAAAATTGTTTGTTGTTGTTAATGTAGGATAATTCAATGCGTGGATGGGTATATCATAAGGGCTCTCTGTCTGAAGTATCTGTTCCACCAAACAATCTTGGAATCAGAAGCTCCTCTGATGTATGGATTTCTGTCTCTTAATTTATAGACATCAGAATTGAACTTAAATGAGATTTTAAAAACTTTTATTCATTTTTGGGCAGCATCCTTCTGTTTCAGACTCGTGCTATGGAGTGGCAATTTCCCCTGGAAATTTAGCTCTTGCTGTGGTATGAAGATTCCTCTCCCTGTTATTCTACTGCTATATTGTTACTCATACACAAGTTCACCCTACAAACTAATGATGTTCAATTTGTTAAAATGCTTGTTTGTTTCTCACCTTGCAGTTTAGTTGTTAATTTACTATATTCTTTGCTTAAACCATTGGCATTCCCTTATGCAGAAAGTTTTTGCTATAGCTGGATGAGAAGTTCTGATTCATTTTCATCCCTTTTTCTTATAATATTAGCTTAGGCCTTTAGACTCTTCCTTCAGTCAAGCTACTTCAGCTAAACCTCTTTCATAGATATCTTGTTAGATCAATGCCTGTCTTATGGCCTAGTTTAAGATGCTCTACTCCATTTTTTGGAGATATGTTGGATCCCCCTGGATGCAAAACCTTTTTTTTTTATTTATTTTTTTAATTTTTCTTTCTTTCTGTATGTTGTATTCCTTGGATCAGATTTAATCAATCACTTGCATAACTATTTAGTTTTAAAATTGAAAAATCTCTTGTATCTGCTATATTAACAAAATTTAACAAAGCTGTATGCCGCTCCAATTCTATTTCCTGTCTTGAGTACATCAAATTAATAAAAGTAGCTGTAAGGCACCTTTTTTATTTTGTTACAGTTAGCATATCTGAAAGATGTGATACATTGATACATACGATTGTAGACTACAATTACTGTGGCCTGTCCTTGTATAATGTGTACACGGTGTAGTAAATTACCATGTACCAGAAAAGGTACATATAAAGATTAACATTACTTTGTACCTCTCTTCAGGCACGCAGGTTTGATGCTGGACAGTTAGATCATATGTACCAGAAAAGGTACTCCTGATACCTGTTTCAATTTTTCCTGGAGTAACTTGTGATTTATTATGATTGCTCTCTATTCCACTCTCAATGTCGTGGCAGTGGCTACCACCCATTAACCGTCCTTACCTAGCATTACAGTAAAGAGTTAGTGAAATACCTACCCAACATATGTGTGATAGAACAGTAAAATAGAGAAGAAAGATTGACGCTTTAATTAACAAAACAACGATTTACACAATCGATAGGTTTAGCCTATCAAGCTCTATAGTGACTTGAGGTCACAACTCTCTCAAAAGGATTCACTCCCAAATTCTGCCTCCCTTTTCCTTTCTCCCCTCTCTCTATTTATACTAAAACTAAGGACTTTTAACCTAATAAAGTAATAATACTAGACTACCTATATTGCTCCTCCTTGGGTCAATCAATTACAATATGAACATATTGTCTCCTTTGTAATATTGCTGCAAATTATTGTATGATGCCACGAGCTCTGTGAAGAACATTATCCTGCAAGATGTATAGCTTTGCAGGTGATATGTTGATTAGGTATCTTTTTACCATCTTTATTACTCTTACTTTCCTAATTTGAACATTTTGACATCTTCCTTTCACTTGACCCAACCGTTCATTTCGCCCCTAGGCTTCTTGGGGAAACTCATCCAATCTAGGTATCAGTGTTCTGCCATAACTTTCGTATTCGGCCATGTTTGACTGGTGCCCATATCATTTCTGGTTTAATGTCCACACTACTAGCTTTTAGTAAATTCATTCAAGTGTAATCTTCTGATTCCATGTACCCTTGATGACTATTCTATTTTTGACACCCCTGAAAACAGTGGCAGATCCACGGTGGGTTCAAGTGGGTTCATTGAACCCACTGATTTTTCGGGAAAAAAAGGTTTTATTTATTTATTATTTTTTATTATTATTTAATTTAAAAAAATAGAATTTGTGTGCATAAGTAATATAGGAAAAAAAAAAGTGCAGCTCAGTGGTAGCAAGGGTTTGGTTTGTGTGCTAGGGCCCTATAGGTCTGGGGTTCGACTCTCAGCCTCACATCATTTATTTTTTTTCCCCTTTTTTCCAATTTCTCCTCTAAACTCCTAATATTACCACTTGAACTTTAAAAAAAAATTCCCCTCTTTTCCTTTACCCTCACTACCTTCTCCAAATTTTTTTCAGTTTCATCTCAAAACTCCCATGTATACTTGTTTTTTTAAAGCCTTTTTATTTTTATCCCCTTTTTTTTTCAATTTCTTTTCTAAACTCCAAATATTACCACTTGATGAAAGCCCGAATGCTTATATAAGCCATTTTAATTTTTTTCCCCCTTTTTGATATCAACTTTGTATATTTATTACAAAAATATAATTAAAGATATTAAGTAATAGAATGTGCATTGGCAAGCGTGAAAACATCAACATTGCAATATAAAAAAAAAAAACGGAGCTATATCTTATTATTTGATGATTTCGAACCCACACTTCTGACTTCCTGGATAAGCCACTGTCTAAAAAAGATGTCGAAGATATAGAAATTAGTTGCTTGGCACTGCAAATGTAGAAATTTTCATGTGCTGGGAACACTTGTGGAATAAAAACTCAAAACTGTAGATTAGTGACTGAAAATTTTGTAAAATAGTTTCTGTTCTCTAATATTTGTGGGCGGACATTTTGTGGGGTATGAGAAAGTGAAGAAGGGGCTCTGACTATTAGAAATTGTGCTTGGAAGCTGTCTTATGTTTAAATCTGGTGCTGATTACTTGATAAGCTCGCATTAATATTTGTGTAGCATGTGGGTGTTTAAAAGTATATGGACAGTAATATTTGTCTTGCTTTTAATATGCAGGACCCAGAGGGCCGGGGTTGAATTCTTCTGGGTTGGAGGGCAACATATCGATATTCCGTCAACTGCAAATTTAGAGCTTGATGTTGAAGGTATCCCTGGTTTTTCCAAAGAAGAGCTAGGATATTGGGGATCCAAGCTGCTGTGGTCTTTAAAACAGTATGAGTGTCATACAAAACATCTGGTTATTTGGGATATTGTAGCTGCTTTGTCAGCTTTCAAGCCATTTGCAACTAGATTTATCAAGCACATAATTTTGAGGTGGCTGGAGTTAATATTCGAGGATTATTTGGATCCTTCTATCAACGATATCTTGTTAGAAGTGCCTGAATATATGTTGAACATCAGTTCTCGGCAGTTGCACCTGCTCAACATTTTATGTAGATGTGTTATACCATTAATTGATTTTGAGGCTGTCAAAGTTTGTGCCAAACCAGCTAACTTAGCCGATATATATGGGGAAAAGCAACTGTGGATGGACATAATGTTTAACAGTGAGAAAGAACTCAGAGAGAGGCTCGTGGGTTTGAGTTTATCGACTGTTTATGGCAATATATCTGATCAGACCTTGAAAGCAGAGACTGAATTGTGGAATCCTGTTGGAATCACTCAAATGGTGAAGTGGGTCACGCAAAATCGAGATCGCGTGAGTCGTCAATTAAGTCTTCTTGTATCTGAAATTGAAGGGCTTGGAGCAAGGTAATTTCTCAACATCTTTACTAGCTGCTGAAATTTGTCACTTGAATTATATTGCATAAGTTAAACTATTTAAATCAGTATTTGACATATAATGCATGCTACACAACGCTTAGATTGATTTCTGGCAGCTTATGATCCTTTCTATGGTTGAGTTTATGCTTGATTTTTTTTCCTCATTCTGCTTCGGGTCTGTATATGAAAGTTGTAACCACGTCATAAATCCTTTGCTGTTAGATGACTTCCATATGGCCGTATGAACTTAAACAGTTAAACTTTTGAGCTCTCAATTGCTGTAGAAACAGAAGACACCAAACCAAACCAAAGGGAAGAAGAGTGTGGGGGAAATAAATGTCATGGAGTGTGGAATTACTGTCTCTATCTCGGAAATGATATGTTCTATAGCTTAATGGTCATTTGCAGTTAGTTAAACAAACTCGAGTCATTTTTCTGCTGCTGGTAGCTTTTCCCATATTTGATGGTGTATTCTTTGGTAGTTTGGTCACACTCACTCACTCCTGCTATACTGGTTTTTGTAGTATACTATACATACTGACCAGGCATAATTCACTCTAAAACAGGCTGCAAAGCATGTATGATTACAACGCAGAAGAAGAGCAGTGTAGCTTCTGTTCAGCTACTGTTCCTTTCGATTCTCCAGATTTTGCATCCTGCAAAGGCATAAAATCTAGTGATCAGGAATCCCCTCAACAGCATAAACTCACTCGTTGTGCCGTCTCTATGAAGGTTTGCCCTCTTACTACTTTATGGTTTTGCGTGTGCTGTCGGAGACGTGCTTCAAATTTGCCACCTCTCCAATTATTTACCATGAAGGATCATCCCCCTGACATTTTGTCGTTCGTTAAACCTTTGATAACTAATCTGTTACCTAATCCCTTATGTCCCTTCTGTGGGATATCTCTACAAAGACCACAGCCAGACTTTCTACTATCTATATCACCTGTATAGCATAACTTTATTACTACCAGTCTCTGTACAATGCCACATTTGTTGTAATGATAAGTTGATAACAGTTCATTTCATAAGTGGTTTCTGCTATTCTGGTAGTGATGTTTCTATGACGAATAAGATAGACTGGTTAGCTGAAAATAGGTCTCCATCTAGTGAGACTGGAATATCTAGTGTAAATGTGTAATATTGTAATGTTGGTTCAGAACAAGAAATGCCATAATGTATATTATCAATATTGTTTTACCATTGAATTTGTTATGCTATATTTCAATTTTAATGTAAACTGTTTTTCATATTTTCTTGAATTGGCTGATAAATTGGTTATTTTGGCTTAGTTTTGATTTTCTCAGATCAACTTGTGAAAGTTAAGAACAAAATTTCAGTTATACCTTCCTAGTGTTATCTTTTTTCATGATAAATAATAATGAATACCTTTCTCTCTCTGTTTACTCCTTTCACAAGAGAGCAAGTCACGGATATGATCCTTCAATCCGCCATAGCCGCTTAACATCTAGTAACTTCCATGTACCAATAAAAGTACAACTTTTAGTTCGAGTTTTCTTGCATTAATTTATGTATTTAAAAATTGGCATTTTGTTGCAGTATTTGCCCCAGGTTATATTCTACTCGTACTTTAAAATTAACTTTTGGTTGAGTGTAATTGGTGAGAGAAATTTGGTGAGATCCAAAGTAACTTTTGTGAGAGTAAAGTTATGATCACCCATGAAATTTGTAATATGAAGCAATTTTTTAAAAACAGCCTAAAAAGGAAAATGAAACAAACGGTAAGGTAGAAGGAGTACAATGTATGCATATGCTAGGATAGCTAGCTCGTGAAAATGCTTATGAGGTGCACATAACTATGTGTCTTACTAATTTTTATATTGTTTACTCTTAGTGTGGTGATTTTGAAGAAAAAACAAGTATAGGGACGAGGTTGTATTGTGATGTCACTTGTTAAATGATGCTTTAATTCATTCTCATTATCACTATGTATTGAGTACTATACTAATACTAACAAAGAGTGCTTCCAAGTGCATCCACATCTAATATCGTCACAAATGATAATATCTCTAATGCTTACAATCTTTGCGCTATTAGAAAAATAGAAACACAAAAATAATTTAGGATAACCATGTGAAAAACGTGAGAGTAAATTATTTCATCAAATTCAGAGTTAATATACACCCATTATAATATTTAACTCCAATTATTTATGATGTGACTTAATTAAAACTATATCTTCTCGGAAATCCACGTGCCTTAAAAAGGCCAAACAAAAGTCTATCGCCCTTTTGTTTGCGTATGAATCAATAAGACAACATACTGTAGGCAGCTATCAATAAGTTTAATTATAAGAGTACTGCTTAAAGTTGTAATCTTGCGTCTTATATAATGAATGATTAGCGTAAAGAGACTCATAAACTGCGTGATTAGCGTAATTAACAACCAGTTTCATTATTTATACTACTTATCCTTTTTTTTTTTTTTTTTTTTTTGAGGGAATACTCCTTGTATCTCATACTCCATTATACAGTCCGTAATATCTAATTCACCTTATTTTCATTAATAAAAATTATTGAAAAAAAAAATAAAAATCATGTGGTAATATATTGGAGACATGATCTGATCTTGGAAATGTATGATGTAATGTTGTCTTTGTTTATTACGGTGCTCTATTAATATGACGGCCAGTGTTGAAAATAAATTGTACTTGTAGGATCAGTTTAGTCCATAGTTAACAAGTGTCCATAATTACTTAGGGTGTGTTCAATTTATTTGACTTTTATTTGTACAAACTTATTTTATCTAGATCTATAGAAATTATTAAACTTTATTACAGAGTAAAATTTATTTTAATTGCAATTTTGCTTTTAGTTTATTCTTATCAATCTTTATTAGAATTCATTTTTCCTAAACTTATCTTATTTATTTAAATTACTTAGGATGTGCTCAATTTACTTGACTTTTATTTATATATAAACTGATTTTATCTGGATCTACAGAAATTATTTTGCTTAGTTAAGATGAACGGTTCTCAAATAGCTGAGAATTAAATTTTTTTTCATTTGTTTAAAATTGTTTATCGTTCATAAATATTGTATAGAGGATAAAAAAAAAAAAAAAAGAAATACAAGAACAAAGAAGTTTTTTTTGAAAGGGGAGTATTGGACTTCAATTGGTATGTATATTGACCCTTAAATTGTGATGGATCAGTTGTAGAGTTGTATATTTTTATTAAACTACTCCGTATATCATCACTCTCTATTATACTTAGGAATTTCCATAAATTATAGGAATGGTGACAAATCTATGTACTGTACATTGGTCCCAAACCGCATATTCGGCTAAAACTTATGCAGATGCCAAAATGATTTTCATGCTAAAACGAAAAACAAAAAACAAAACAAAACAAAACAAAACAAAATTAGCAAGTAAAAAAAATTCTCACCAAACAAACACCCATATAGTCATATACTTGTACTTTTTTATTCAAAAAAAAATATATATATATATACTTTACAATAAGATTGATGTATAATTCATTCAAAGAAAAAAAATTTGATGTATAATAAATATTGTGAAAATAACGTTATTTATTGTAAAAATGATCAAAAATCACCCAAATTGTACATACGAAATTACAAAGTACTCCAATATGTAACTCACTTTTCACTTGCTTCTTAAAATCACTTCACCAAAAAACAATCTTTATATGTTAAAAATCAATCCAAAATATTACCCTTAAGCTGCATGTTGTTGTTGTATAGTAATTTGATTGCTCACCCGATACACACTAACATTTATGCAAAATACGTGTTTATATCGTTTACAAGATCAAATAAAGATGAAGAAGTCTAATCTTATTATCAGCCAATCATGTCTACCGAAATTAATACAATGTAATATTATAATTCTCATAATTAAATACCCCGGATTATATGATGTAAATGTATTACATAATCTCCATCTAGTCGTTATTCAAAATCAATGTACTGAATAAATAAGTAGGAATAATACAATTGTGGAGAGCATGAAACTAGCCACCTCAATCTTTGTCAAATATGGCGTATGTGTCTCAACAAACCAAAAAATTCAGCTTACCCATGAAATTAAATTAGTACATAGTATTTGACTTCACAAGAGGAATTGGTAAAAGTATGAAATAAAATAAACCGAAATGATACTTATTTATTGGGTTTTTTTTTTTTCCTTAGTTATTTAAAATTAAGACCTTAAAAATTATTACTCCATTATTTGATTCAAACTATTTAATCAAAAGTATACCCTCAAAAGAAATCTATATGTCTAACCTATTAAATCACATCAATACAAAGCTTAACATATATGAAAATATTTACTCCCTCCATTTTTAAATACTTGCTCCATTTCTCCATGTGCGGAGTTTTAGGAGAAATTGGAGAAAATAATAAAACATGTAGGTAGTGGGGTAGGCGGAAAAATAAAAAATTGTAAAAAACAAAAGTAATTGAGAGAATTTGAGGAGAGAAAATATGAAATTAATAAAATGTGATTTATGTTGGGTCCATTAGTTAAGAGAAATGAATTAAATATTGTAAAAGTTTTTCAAATAAGAAAATGGAGCAAGTATTTAAAAACGACCGAAAATGAAAAGTGGAGCAAGTATTTAAAAATAGAGGGAGTATGATAATATTGATGATCTATACATGCTGTATATGATAATATAGAGTTAACTCAAAATAAAATTAGTATAATAATATGAAAATTAGTATGAAAATACATGTATGCTTTTTATATAGAGTTAACTCACAATAAAGTCAAATGTAATCTTATTAAAGTACTTCGTATAATCTAAATTTCTCCAATTCGGTTAAACTATCGGTCAATCAAATTGAAAAGTTGAAAACCAAGAAAAAAAAAATGTCCAAATAAAAATTTAATCTTTATAGCATTATTTCTGTAACAATAAGGCATATTTTTTCTCTGACATGACCATAAAATGGCAGCTTAATTAGAGCCTTAGATTTAGTCTGACAAGTGAAGAGCATCGCATCTAATGCACTCCACTTTGTCAATTGGCTTCATCTTCATGCATTATGAATTATGATTCATGACTGCGTAACCCATTAAATTCTAGACGTTGACGGCTTTGTTATATTGGACTAACCAACTTCTTTCCAACGTGAGGACTTTTTTTTCTTTTTTGGGTGATGAGAATGAACGAAAGACTACGAAAGAATGATAGAGATTGGAATTTAAACTATTTTATTTTATAGCTCGTGCGAAATACGAGTTGTAGTCTTGCTAATAGGTTATTGTTGTGTATAGGCTTAGATTATGCGCGTGTTTGTATTTTCTTTGATGACAAGATTGTAAGTAATTGATTGTAATATACTACGTAGTAGTAGGGAGTAATATATAGATTATACACTCTGTCATGGCTCATGAGTCGATAATTGTTATACATTTGATAGTGACATGTCGCTACATCATTTTCATGTATGTATGGAAATAACAATGACAACACGGTATATATACTTATTATTGTACAAAGACCTTAAAAGCTCATATAGAAAGATATTCGTTGTTCCTACTTCTTAGTTTTACCTGGAGTTACTTTTTACTAGATTAATTAATACGGTGTAAATCACAAAAATACTCTATGTTTTAGGTTATGCTGAATATCATGTTTAACATATTGTTACAAATCACGCACACAATACTTAAACTCGATGATCTATATGACTATATGAGTAACTTATTTGCTTCTTCTCAAATGGGTAAGAGGATGGACCATTGAACAAGTAAAATATAATGGTCGTCGAAAATAATACATCGTCTTTTAGTATTACGATTAATGTTAAGAATATGTAGTAGAGAGACGGTTTTTTTCGTTACTTAACATGAGTGATGGACTAGTGCCCTAGTGCTATATCAAAATTCGATCGTAAACTTTTTTTGCCTAATACATTTTAAACACTTCAAAATTATTATGTAAAGTATATACAATCATTAATGCCCAAATCTGTTGGTTTTATATCCACTGGTAAAAAAATAATTTCAGATAAGTTAATTTTAGGAAAATAAGTAGTTCAAATTAAAAAATCGATAAGGATAACTAATTTTAGTTTACAGCTAAGAAAAGTTTAGATGAGTCCAATACGTTAGTAAAATCAAAGTAAACATTGTAGGCATAATTTAATCTCGAAAGTTGAATACTATTCAAAACTTTAACCAACTCGTATGGTGTTAAATTAACCGATAGAATAGAATCCGACATTAGAAACCTTCCCAAACGCACACAAAGTTCGTCGTACAAGGACAAGATAAACTCGAAGAAGAGGAAGTCTTGACAACGTAACTTTTAACTTGTTAGCACAAACGCAACGTTAACAAACATAAGTTGAATGACTGAATGAGCTAAGGTTATCAAATTATTCTAGCATTTGATGCCCTTCTCAAGAAATATTTATTTTGCAGTCCAAAACGACAATTCTTACCAACTTACCCTTAAATTAAATATGAAATTCAGTTAAATAAATAAAATAATGATGAATATCAGAAAATAATAATAAAATGATAAAGACACCCACTTTAATTTTATACTGTTATAATTATTTATTTATGCTTGTATTTTTTATATATAAACCCCCATAAAATAAAAAGCAGGGGAGTTTGGGACCTCCATTAACAGGTGGCATGAAATATGTTTAGTGTCAAGCAATGCTACCTTATCATCCGTCATTGTCCAATCTTCACATGCCACGCATGCAACATAATTTCCCTCATGCGACTATATTGGTATTTATGGATTGTCAATTTGTCATTAACACTATGGTCTTTATAATTATGTATATGTATCACTTTTCTTATTGGATTAATTAATTAATTAACGTGCTATGTAATTAATACTTGTATGTGGTGATTTGACCTAGTTGATTGTCATGATCATATAATAAAAACTACTCCGTATTAGATTTCAGGGATTTAATCTATTTTTTATGGACTCCTAGTCATTCATATGAAAAAATTACTAACGCTGACCTATGAAGTATGATAATTGTTTTAATAATCAAAGTATATAGTTGTGAATTAAAGTGAATTCAAAGGATCCACATAAGGATTGGTAAAGGCCTGACCCCATGACTTATCTCCATAAGAGCATAAGCAAATTATTTTCTTAAAACTGTGTTCAATTTACTTGATTTTTATTTATTTGAATTTTTCCAAACCTATTTTACTTTATTATGGAATTTATTACTTGTAGAATTTATATAAGCTTATTTTAATTGAAATTTAAATTAGATAAGAACTTATAATATGAACTTTATTGTTGAATTTGTCTAATTTGAACTTATCTAATCGGAACTAGGTGAACAAATCAGGGCCTTAATGAGTCCTTAGAATAAAAATGTTTAAAAGATTTAAAACAAACATCTACGAGTACCTTGCTGTAATAATTGTTTAAACTTGTGCAAAAGACTACGTGTCTGTTCTATTCACCTGATTACACTTATTTGAACTTTAACTGAACTTAGTAGAATTTATATTCACCTGATTACACTTATTTGAACTTTAACTGAACTTAGTAGAACTTTAACTGAATTTTAGTTATAATTTAATTTTGACTAACTAACCCTTATCAGAACTTATTTTTCGTAAACTAACTTATCTGAACTTATTTGACCTGAAATAAGTTTAAGTAAGGTGAACAGAGAATAGGCCTGTATATATGATTTGCTCCAACCGGCAACACTTGAAACCAAATCTTGTTCTTACCAAGCCTTTATATATATATATATATATATATGTATATATATATCACAAATTTTTATGTGTGGCCGAGGTTACTTATTTAGAGGTTACTCGGTTGGTCAAAGGTTACTTATAGGGTTACTTATTTAGGGTTACTCTGTTGGTCAAGAGTTATTTATTTAGGGATTACTTGGTTGGTCAAGGGTTACTTATTTAGGGGTTACTCGGTTGGTCAGGAGTTACTTAAAGGGGTTACTTATTCAGGGGTTACTTGGTCGGTCAGGGGTTACTCTCACACAGAAAACGCGTTAACCGTCTGAGTAAATTTAGAATAAGTAACCCTTGACCGACTGAGTAACCCCTGAATAAATAACCCGGGCGAAAACACGCTAACCGACTGAATGACCCCAAAATAAGTAACCTGAATAAATTTGACTAGGTCACAAATTCTCACCAAGTTTGACCATAACTTCTTACTAATTAACAATTACTTTAATTTGTATCATTTATTAATTTTTATAATTAAAAAATTAAATACTGATTTCGCATCTAAATGTATCTTAATTACATAAAAATTTTGGATGGTACCCAAAACACGATAAGCCAATCCTCACCTTCAATGCTTAGGGTGAGAAAGCAAATTATTACCTCTATTGCGGAAAATCTGATTTTAAATATATGATCATATAAGATACGCACCCAAAAATCTATTCATTATTTAATGCAATAAATAAATTAGATTCATATCTCCCTCGATATTGTTAATATATGTTAAGTATAATTATTGAGATAAATATCTTATCCTTTGTCCAAATATCACAAAGGATAGGTTAATTGTAATGGATACTAGCTCTATGTCATCAATAAGTTTATCCTTTTTCATTTGAGGATTATCCTCTTCATTTTATCTAAAAAGTCTAATAAATTATAATTAACAAGAAAATGGTTTAATTAAATCATGTGATTGAACTATACCTTTTCTTTTAAGAAAAATAAATATATTAATCCCTATTTGTAAAGTCAAACCTAAGAAGCATCATGTGATATTGCCAATGCGTGAGAAAAAGTCTCAATGAAATTAAAAGCTTAATTCTTGAGCTTTACAACACCAAAGTCTCACTAATTATTAAACATATAAATGCTCACCCAATATTGTGAGCTAATCCCTCTCCAAAAAGTCAAATTAGAAAATACATCTCCTCAAATATTTAATATAATAACCACAATATGATCCGGTCTAGGATCACATATAACTTGAGAATACTAATAATTTTTATATATATTTTTAATAAAAAAAAATAAAAAATACTCCCTTCGTTTTTTTTTAAATGCATTACTTTGACTTTTGCATTATTTCATGTCATGGTTGACTTAATTTTTTTGCTATTATAAAATAAATAAATGTTATTTTATAATACATCATTAGATTCGTCACAATGTCTACTTTCATAATATAATTTTGTTACAATTTTTATTAACGGACAATTAAAGATATTAATGGTCAAAGTTACATCTTGGAAAATGTGTCGGTCAAACTGATGCATTTAAAAAAAAAAACTGAGGGAGTATTTGTAAAAGGTTGATATTATACGTAGTAGTAATATTTGTAAATGTATTAATTAACATTATTTTTTATGAACAAAATTTATTAAATAAATCTAATATGCTTCAATTATAATATTTTTTTTCGTATTGTCAAAAGTCCAAAATATTGCAATATTTAAAGAACGAATGAAATAGCAAGATTCTAAATTTAGTCCATATTACGACCTCTTAATCGAACCAATATGTACACGAAGTATTGTTTATCATGCATTTCTAAATTAGTATAAAACTTGACAAATTAAGAAATTTTAAAAAAAGTTTTTCATTTTATAACAAAAAATAATTAATTCAATTTCAACTCAATTAATAAGTGAAATACAAAAGCAAAAAATAAAAAATAGATTCTTCAAAGAAGCTACACGCACACTGCTTTATTTTATTTTCTCTCACCTTCCTCTCTTACCCTTTAAACTCTTGTAGACAAAAGAATCACTGCATCATTAAAAAGCCACTCTTTAAAAAAATTAAAATAAAAGTTGGGTTTTGTTCTTCTGCAACACTTTATTTATTTTTTTCTTTTATTTTATAAATAATTACAGTAATTTCCTCCGCCATTAAAGTAGAGTTTAAGAAGAAGACATTTTCTCTGTTTATCAATCAAATCAATGAACATCACCCCTCTTTAATTTTCAAAATTAAGGTAATTTTCTTCTTATACTCTATTTTCTCTCTCATGGAATTTCGATTTTGATTGTTAATTTGATTTTTGATCGGCGATTGTCTTGGAAATTGAAGGTGCTGTTGTTGTTATCTTCACTGGAAATCAAATTTCGCAGTTTCGAGAAAGTGTGAGGAATTTTGTTGTTTCGATCATGGCGGTGGCTGAAAACGGCGTCGCATCGGGTGGAAACCACTACGACTCGACTGATCTCGACCGATCAAACGACAATCACATCAACAACAACGAGAAGACTGAGAAATGCAGTTTGAAGTCGCAGTCTTTGCCCAAAAACGACGCCGTTGTTGTTTCGGAAGAGAAAGAGGATGATTATAATAGTAACAATAATAATAATAATAATAATCTGGAAAATAATCATTCTGGTTTGACAAATTCTGGAAGTAGCGAGAATAGCGGTGTTACTGATGATGATGATTTTGATGATGATCATCAAAACATCAAATTTGATGATAATAATAATAATGATAATGATAAAAATGAAAATGGAAAGAATTTTGATGAGAAGGAAGAAGAAGGGTTTAAGAAGGAAATTAGGGATTTACAGGAGATGTTGTCGAAGCTAAACCCTATGGCTAAGGAATTTGTGCCTCCTTCTTTGGTTAATTATGTGAATATTAATAATAATATGTTTAGTAATAACAATGGCAATTTCGGTTATGTTAATAATTTTCTAATTGCGCCGCTGAGTCCGGTTGCCGGCAATGTCAATGGATTCTCTGGTAGAAGGGTAATTTTATTTATCTGATTGATTATCATTTTTTCTGGATTTTTTGGGGGTGAATTTGGTAGGGATGTATTGAATTTTGTTTTGTGTGTGTATTTGTGGATGAACAGAGGAGGAATGGGTATGGTAATGGGAAAAGGAGGATGAATACCCGTACTAGTATGGCTCAGAGGGAAGATGTAATCCGGCGAACCTTGTATGTTTCGGACATTGATCAGCAGGTATAGGATTTTTGTAATTATTGTTGTTAATGATTATTGAGGTTTGTTTTGTGTGTTATATTTTGAATGAAGTCTGTAGCTTTTGTTATTTTATCTATTGAATTATCGAGCAAAGCTATCAGAATTTTATCTTGGTAAGATTTGGGATGAATTGCTTGTTAAATTTCTTGTTTTGGGTATGAGTTTGTGTTGTGACATTTGTGTGTAATGGTGGGTACCAGGTCACTGAAGAGCAACTTGCAGCGCTTTTTATCAATTGTGGACCGGTAATTGGTTTGTTTTTAGCTGTATGTTGTTTTGGTTGGATGTATTTTAGTGTAAACATTGAATTACTTTCTTTTGTTGGGGTGGTTTAGGTTGTTGATTGTCGTATTTGTGGTGATCCGAATTCTGTACTTCGCTTTGCTTTTGTGGAATTTATGGATGAAGGTAACGGCTTTAATTTGATTTCTGCTGATAAGTTGGGGATCATGCTTGGTTATGTTAGTCATGTTGTGATTTGTTTGGCTTTGCTATTTTGGCAGAGGGTGCTAATGCTGCTTTAAGCCTGTCGGGTACAATGCTTGGGTACTATCCTGTCAGGGTGCTGCCTTCTAAGACTGCCATTGCTCCTGTTAATCCTACTTTCTTGCCCAAGGTTGGTTCTGCACTGCACTCACTGCAATCTGTAATCTATCCTTGCAAGCAAGTAGTTTTTACTGCTCGAAACAAGCTTCAACATAATGATCATTATGGACTTTATGTTTAAACACTATTAATATCAGTGAGGTAATTAATGGCTTCCGTCTGCAGTCTGAAGGTGAGAGAGAAATGTGTGCACGAACTGTTTATTGTACCAACATTGATAAGAAGGTATTATTTAGTCAACCATTCATCACTTGTGTGTATTTTGATCTTTTCATTTGATTGCCCTCTAGTTCTCATTGCTAAGTTCATGTGTTTTTTGATATTCGTTGCAGGTTACACAATCTGAAGTCAAACTGTTCTTTGAATCATTTTGTGGAGAGGTTTGTAGTTCACCATATCTTAATATTGACTAATTGGGTCCTGTCAATTTTTAAAATTTATGTGTAAAGATTCTTACTTTTTAGGTACAACGCCTGAGGCTGTTGGGAGACTATCATCACTCAACTCGCATTGCTTTTGTGGAGTTTGCTATGGTAAATCCCTGAACCTCTATTGTTGCCTTTTTCTTTCTACTGTTTTATGGTTGAAATTCTCATGCTCTTGATGTCAAATTGGAAACTATATATCTTTCTTTGGGTTTTCAACGTATTCTTTTGACTTGCATGTTGTAGTCTAGTTAACACTTTGAATCAAGAACAGTGGATTGGTGACTCGCTAAGCTCCTATATCGTGTGTAGTTCAAATTTGACGCTTTTTCTTCTTTTCCCTTTCCTTGCATGTGTTCTAATGTTTTAGTCATTCCGGTGCCTTCTTTGGATATGCATTAATTGTTACTCCATAGAAACTATTTTTGCTTGTTTTTATTTATTTATTTATTTTATTTAATATATAGGTATGAATTTGGTTCTAGTTTGGTATTGACGGTTTTTTTAAACAAGCATTATACTTTTATAATACTTTAATATTGAGTGCTAATATATCTTTAGATTTTGAGATATGGCATTCACCCTTGATGTCGTATGGTATGGAAATAATATTTTATTTTAAAATTAACTTTATTGCTAGGCATAATGTTAATTCTACCATCTTGGGATCTCCTTCCTTTATACTTCATTAGTCTTGTAGAGCACTGGAAGGATATGGAGTTTGGGACTTTGGGGGATTGGCTTAGTGGAACACAATCCTCAGCCCAAGAAGGTTTTTAAATATATTTTGTGCCCAATATTTATTATTGGGAGTGATTAGATTAGAAGCACAATCCGTTATTCGCGTACTTAAATTTTAGGATTTTTTGTCAGAAATTACCTAATAAATCCTAGATTTTATGAGCAACTACCTAATAAAAAAAAATGTTGTAAAAAACTACCTAATAAAAGGGTTAAATATTGTAAAATACGAGCAAGACCTAGTTTATCACCTTGATAACAAATTGGCATTTTTGTAAATAAGTTGCATTGAATTTTGTGTTTTTTGATTAAAAAAAATATATATTTACTGTTTGTGGGCCATGGTAATAATGTCGACAGATTTTTTGTAGTAACACCGTTAACTACTGTTCATCACCTTCTTCCTCCCCACCTTCCTATTCATCTTCTTCTTCCCACCTTCTTCTTCCTCTTGTTCTTTTTCCTTCCTCCCACCAACTTTTATCTTCTTCCTCCAATCCACACCCACTTTCATCTTCTTTCCAAGCCGTCCGACTCCGCACCACCACCATTTCCGGCGCCGCCGAAATTCAATGAAAACCCAAATAACAAAGAGATAAATAAAGGGCATGGTTAACCCTAAAGGGTAGGTGAGTTAATCCTCCATTGATTTCGGCTTTAGCCGCCGGAATTAAACGAATACCCGAATATCAAAGGGAGAAATAAAGGGTATGGTTAACCCTAAAGGGTAGTAAGCTTTCGTTCCTCCATTGATTTCGTCTAGCTCAATGTTGTAGTGAAATGCACATTTTCTGCCATTGTCATTGAAGGTTGAAGGAGGAGAGAGAAAATCAAGGGAGAGGGGAAAAGCAACTAACAACAATTAACACTAGTTAGTTGTCAAATTACATAAATACCCCTTGATAAGCATGAATTGTTTATCAAGGTTATATACTTATATTTTCTCGTAAAATACTACCTCTTGCCGGATTTTCATCGTTGACCTAATTTTCCCACGTTGACCCACCTTTAAACACCCCTAAAACATCATCTCGTAGCCCGAACCTACCCCCAACAACTCGGAAAATCCCCCAACTGAAATAGCCTTACAACCTTACCACCATGAAAACCAACCCTCATGGTGGTTTCAAGGGTGTTTTGAGTTGGTCAATGCCGGAAAATTATGTCAACGGTGAAAATCCGATCAAAGGTAGTATTTTACCATATTTTACCTTTTGTTAGGTAGTTTCTCAAAAAAATGTGTTTTATTAGGTAGTTTCTCAAAAAAATGTGTTTTATTAGGTAGTTTCTGACAAAAAAATCCTAAATTTTATTATGAAGTTTCTATATTGGCATATTTTTTATAGTCTAGTTCAGCTAGTATTCTTTCCAAGGATCTTTGTATTCTGCTTGTCACAGGAAATTACATGCTATAGAAACACACATCAACTTGTTTTAGGGGTTAGAGAATTTTGCAGGCATGCCAATCAATTATGTTTTGAGAACCTGTAGCATATAGACCGAAATAACTATGGGATCCTGTAGTTCTGTACACCTCTATCTCTTATATTCATTAGGTGTTATCTGTATGGTTTGTAAATAGATCGAAATAATATTTCTTTTACATTAGTAAACGTAGAGGCCGTTTGGTGCCATGAGAGTTTTATTGCCTATTTTGTGGAATATACTCTGATTCATGACTGTAGTTGATGATTAGGATTTTCCATATGGCACGCATGTTAAATATTCAAAATATATAGAATGATGTTCTAGAAGACCATGAAAGTGCTAGCTTTTGTCTTCCATCTTGCTTGCTGTGTGAGATGTTTAGGTTTTGATGTATTAATGAACTTCTCTCCCATAAACCATAGTGACTTTATTTTTATATTTCCTTTTGAATTTTATGAATTTTTAAACTGCAAATCTAGGGTCACCATTTCATTGAATTGATGTTGTTTCATTTTTCACCTGAAATTCGAGTGAGTAGACTCAGGAACAAATTTATGTCGCTAGATATATTCTGATAGTCAAATTAGGACTAGCAAAAAGAGTGAGGACAGTCATATAAAAAGAGAGTTACTTTGCTTTGGGATTGTGGATAGTCATATATGCCAATTATGTTTCTTAGGCTTCATGACTTTGGAAATGGCTTTGGGTAAATTTTTTGAAACTGGTCTGAAAAAAGAGGTTTGGGTACTTTCTATGGATCCCACGACACCCCGAGAGGCCACTTGGGGTGGTTTGAACCGATTATTTTCCTTTAAATAGGCAATCTAGCCGCTTACACCTCTTTTCATTGACCCATGGCTACCACGGGAGGTTATGTGACTAACTTAGGGCCATTTATGGTTCCAAAGAACATTGTATGACCCGGGATGTGTCCCCTACCATCCCTTAAGAATTCGACACCGGGTCTCAAAATCTCCTAAAATGCTCCGATTTCGTGTATTCTAATCTTCATATTTAGCCTTTGGAAAACATTTTTTGACCGGGCAAGATTATGCAACAAGGTGCTTCCCAAGGACCCTGGGGGGCTTACTTGGTGCCCATAACCATCTCATTCATGCCTTGGCCCAACCGCTGTTATCATGTTTTAGGATGCCTTGCCTTGGCCTTGACTCCTTGAGTTTGCCTTATTGCCTTCCGTTGTTTTTGTTGCTTTTAATTTTCTTGTGGAATTGTGATTGAAAGGGTTGAATAATTTATAAATCATTTATCGAAGCCTATGACGACATGAAATTTCTGCTAGATAGCTGTTCTGCTTGTGTTGTAGTCTCTTCATCTGCTAGGGCTTTGGCTGCAGAATCATGATGTCTTGGTGGAATCTAAGGTCCAGTGGCTAATGGGTGAGAATTGAGGGTATTAGTTAAACATGGAATTGATGAAGACATAACTAATTGTTCAAGTCCTTGGTTACAAAGCTGCAGGGCTCAGGCATTTTAGTTAGCTTGTGTCATGAAAACTCATATATAGTCACTACTATATTTTTTTGCATATAATTTGATGAGTTACAAATCTTACAGCAACATTTTAGTTGACCTTTGCACATTTGAAAGGTTTATGATCTATCAATATGCAGTTTGTTCTGAAGTTTGTGTGACAGTTCTTTGAATAGGCATTTTATCAGGCTGTCAAAAGGGGCAGGGGTTGTTGCCATAGTAGCTGAAGCTTGTTTTTCAACTGTCATGTTTTGCTTGAAGTAGGCTGGGTGCTTTTTTTCTAGTATGCTTGCTGGTTATTGGAAATTCCATTTAGTTGATGGCAGTTGGTAGACAAATGTTATAGGGCTACATTTTTTGTGCCTTGAGGCCTACATGCATACAAAATGCTGGATTTTTTTTTTCCCTTTTCAAAACAATGAGAGTACTATGGTACGAAATTAAAGTAAACCCTGGATTATCTATCCCTGCCTCTAGAATTTGTAATTGATATTACCCACTTCTTTTACTACGAATTCATAACTTGCATATATGGTCTGTCATCGTTTGAGGTTCTGTGAACATTTTTTTTTTTTGTTTTTCTTTTCTGCATTGTCATTAGGATTGACAAGTCTCTTGTGGTGCTTACAGGCTGAAAGTGCAATTTCGGCTCTCAACTGCAGTGGTGCAGTGCTGGGATCACTGCCTATCAGGTTGATACTCTTGCAGCACTCTTGTCTTTTTGCTCTATAAATAATCCTATTTCAGGGGCCAATCATAACAGTACACTCTTTACATATACAGGGTGAGCCCATCAAAGACTCCTGTTCGCCCTCGTCCTCCTCGCTCTCCATTGCACTGAATGGTCACTGGTTTCTCCAAGCCAAGTCACTGCTCATCTTTATCTCCACATATATATACATAAATATATATAGATACACAGAATAGTATGAAGGTACTTGTGGCGTCGTTAGTTTTGTCCTTTCGTATCTTTGGCCCAGTATCCTGCTTTTACTTATAGGGAGGTATTTTATGTTCTTTTCAAGGCTTTGTTCAATTTGAACATGTAGTGAGTTTGGAGGCAAGTTCCGAGGCTCTTCTTTCCTGAGTTAATTTATGTTGCACAGCATAGTATGACTGAAAACTATGCTGGAGATTTGTCTGCTTAAGACTAATATCTTTGCAGATGTTCTCTGACTTTCTTTCTTAAGCCCACAACAAATTTATGGGTTCATTTCTTTGGTTTTTTTTTTTTCAAGATGGTCCGACTTGTTCAGCTCTTCTTATTTTGAATATTGTCTGAGTTTGGTCTATGTTTGTGGGCACATTATTTTTTATTCACTGCCCATATATATGCTGCTGGGAATCTGGCATGCTGCTTGTCTAAAGGTTAAGCACGGATCGGATATTCAATCCGAAATATTATCCTATATCTGAAATTTAAAATTTCTGATATCCGATCTGAAATAAATTTGGATATTCTATATCTGAAATTTTTGGAATGATATATCAAGTATCTGATTTTTTGTTATCCGAAATACTATACAGAATTACAGAGTAATATGGAGTTGCTTTTTTGGGGGGGTATTCGAAAATCTGAACTATTTCTGTAATGTATCAAATTTCCGGATCAAATATCCGATCTGAAATTAATATCGATTGGATGTCATAAATTATAAGATTAGGTGTGGATCTGATGTTTGGATCTTCAGATGGATTAGCTTAGTTAAGTTTGTTTGTCACAAATTTTGTGGACTTGTTTGGGCTTATGGACATGTACTTAAGAAAAACGTTGGACATTGTTTTGGGCTTACAGTTGTTATAAGAGAGAATCTTCAACTTGACTTGATTGCAAATTTTGTCTAAGACTACTATATAGATAAATAGATCACGGATTAGAGTTTAAGGCCTTGTTTGGTTGACAACATAAAATGGGGGAAGTGGAAATTCATGGGATTTGATAGATTGAGGAGTTGTTTGGTTGACACAAAAAAGCAAAAATGAAGAAAGTGAAAATTCATGGGAATTTTAACTTCCCACAAAACAAGGGAAGTAAATTACCTAGCCCCTCTAGGTCAATCAAAATTTCATGGGATTTCTAAATTTTCACATTGCCAACCAAACAAATTTAGGAAATTCTTAGGAATTTCATTAGGGAAATAATTTCCCATAGAAATGCAATTTCCTATGGAAATTTAATTCCCATGTCAACCAAACAAGGCATAAGACTACTACATAGAGTCATAGATTATGGATTAGATGCCTGATACCCGAAATTGACTAAATTTATCATCTGAATTCATATTTAAAAGAAAAAAATAAATAAATAAAAAGGCACTAGAAATATTGAATATTTGAGCTTCAACCAATTACTTGTTGAGCAGTTTGGTTAATACATGAATATTTCCTTTGTCTCTAAAGTTCTTTTTGTTTTGACTTTTTAGGTCGAAATATAAAGGTTTTTATAGGAATTAGGGAGTACTTTGTATTATACTTCTACTAAAAAATTAATTTGATACAGTATTATTCACAAACTACAAACTAGTTGACTAATATTGTCAACTCTCACTTTACACGGTTGGAGAGTAGTTGTATTAAACAACTTACTCCGTACTAATTAAATAGCTCTCTCATTTTTACTTCCCAGCATAATTCCTATGTCTAAAATTTGTTTTATATGACTTCCACAATCTCTATTGTATTCCCTAATTTGGCCATTGGTATCTGTTTGTTTGTAGATATTACGGAGTACTCCGTAGTAAACAATTGTCAAACTTTTTTGTTTATTTTGTAACTTATAAATTGAGATTTTGAATCTAGAAGTGGTTCAATCATGCTCCCATCGTCTAAAAATTCTACTTGTTTTGACAGTAATTATTTCGAAAAATAGTTAAAACACAATCTTTTACAAACGGAGAGAAAATTTATAAAGTTTTTGATATTTATTTTGGTAAGAGTCTAAGCCCAAAAATTAATACAACATTGAGAGAAAATATCCTAAATTTTGTACAAGTACTACGTATATTTTTCATTTGAATTAAAAATTACATATTGACTATAGATAAATTAAATAAGGTGGCAAGGTGCATACCCTAAAGGCCTCAATCCTTAAACTACCCTCCTACTTTCTAAGTAGATTGGTTGACTTGTTGAATCCTTTAAAATGTTATGAGTAGGTCTACAGCTTTCTTATCTTAACCATACCAAATAATTTGGAACAGTTTGCACAAATCTTAATGATTCCACCATACTCAACCTAAAATATTCTTCTCACTCTTACCACAATACTGTAATTAAACTAATATCACTATATTAGCACTATCTTAATGTCTCTTTCACGGCTTAACCTATATTCTTCCAGCTGCACTTTAACAAATATTTACCATAAGAAGTGTCTAATGCATCATTAGTCAATCACCCTAATTAATATATATAACTCGTAATTCTATTACTGTACACTCCTGTAATTTCCAGCCATCTGGTCAATTTGAGAATACGACGAATTAAGGTTTGCCTTCTTTCAAGGCAAAAATGTCATATTTAGGGCTTATTTAATAGCACAAGATGATTAAAGTTTTATAAGACAAGTTTTAGAAAAGAAGGCCTAATAAGATTTGATAAAGGCTAGTAGGCTACTCAAATTTTAAACTATAACTAAGATAAATTCTTATAAGTTTAGATAACTAGAGATAAGTGTATCCTTATATCCGTATGTTTTAAATTTTGACGAGTTAGAGAGAGAGAGGAGATAGTTAGCCACTCTATTAGCTTCATGGTTGATATGTTAATCGTTGATGTTGCGATAAAATTTCTATATCCTTTTTACAATTGTGGAAGAGAAAGACATATATGTTGGATAAATACATCAAAATCCACTATATGTGCTTTTTTGCTTTCATCTTGACGTCACCGATGAGGCATATGAAATCTTGAATCCAGAAAGATACCATCTTTCTTTAGGTAATGATGGTGTGATGTGGGTGGCGCTAAAAAGGTGTTATTGCTCATTAGGATCATTGAAATCAAATTTGGCCTTCTGATCAACTAATAAGTGTATTTAGTACTCCGTAATAATTTAGGCTTTGTTTGATTCACCTTATTTGGTTAGAATTTATAGCATTTGAGCTTACATGCACGTTCACAAATGTTGTTATGCAACTTATATACACATTTTTTTCCAATTAGTACTTCGATAAGATAGAATTTAGTATGTACCACCTTATAAAAATCTACATATAATTTTCAGTGAAACCTGTTAACAGCCTAAATAAAGATTAATCATCTTTATCTGGCCTCCATTTGATTAATCTAATCCACTAGACTCTAGTAAAATAAAACAAAAACAGAGAACAGGTGAGAAACGGCAGATATTCCATATTCCACTAACCGACCCATTTGCATGCGTAGTGCTCATTCTTTTAATTTTACATCTTCCCTCCACTCCACACACATATAAATAACATATTCATCTTCTCTCTCAAAATATTGTAACATCTTCATTAATCTCAACAAATATAGAGTGAACTTCCTTAAACCTCCATTAAAAATTCACATAAAAACCAACAAAAATCCCATTTGTTTTCCCTTTTTTCCATTACATAACACCCTTTTAATTCAATCTTTGCTTCCTTCTTGTATATTTGATCAACCCAAATAAATAAGAAGAAAAAAAAAATGGGAAATTATCTAGCTTTATGTACAATTGGTGACATACAATCAAAAGAAGCCTTATTGAAGGAAAAAAGGATTTTGCAAATAATTAAGAAGGTTGATGGGAAAATATTAGAGTTCACAAATCCAATAAGTGTGAGAGATTTATTGGTAAGTTATCCTAATTCTTATGTTGGTATATTTAAGGATGCTACACAACCTTTACCTCTTGATCACAAGTTGAAAATTGGTAAGGTTTATTACCTTCTACCTTCACTTGATCGTACTACTACTACTATTACTAGTAGATTTGATGGAGATAGTGGTACAAGACGAGAAATGGATCAAAGAACGACAACGACAACAACAACAACGAAGACGACGATTAAAGTGGTGATAACAAAGGAGCAGCTTCAACAAATATTAAGTAAACAAGGGAGAGTTGAGGAGTTGCTCGTAGGAGTTGTTCCTAAGAAGGATTTGAGTTCTAAGGATTGTTCTTTTTCTTCTTGTACTTGGTTTCCTAAGCTTGAGTCTATTCCGGAAGGAAATAATGATGTAGTTTGTTGATATATTAATAATATTATGTATTATGTAATATTTCCTCTGTTGTAGTAATATTGCAATAACCGGACTTTTACACTATTCATTACGCTTGTTTGACCACATTTATGATTAATAAGTAAAGTAAAATATAGTCATGTGAGGTCTTGTTAGATTCGTCTCGTAAAATACTTTCACAATATCAACTTTTTATTATTTTAACTTTTATATAATTATAGATATTTAGCATATAAAATGTGCTTTGGGATGCGTAATTTTATTCTTGTTACGATATTTGTGGAGCAGAGGAAGTATATTATAGTTGTTACATAGATAAAAATACATATACTTGTAATATATACTCATTTTAATATAGGCTTTATTTTGCTTAATTAGAAATGGTGACAAGAGGAAGAGACTAAAAGGAGGGAAAATAAGCTAGCTTGTATGATGGAGCTCAAAATTTACCTTAAAAAGTCTATTTTATGAATAAAATTTAATAGCTCTTTGCTAATAATTTAAATTATTCAAGTGTGCCTTTATTTTATTGTTAAGTGAAAAAATTAACAAATTCTCTAACAATACCGTGTAATTACATTATCAATTATCTTCATCGTCCCTCATGCATGATGGGAGTTAACATTTGTTGAAAATATTCCTTACAAAATATGAATATTGTTGTGTTAACCAAATTAATAATGTATTTAATCATTATGATCAAATAGTTGTTAATAGATAAAGAGCTAAAGAAGTATTTCAAAGTAAGGAATTAATGTAAATACTCGTAAGAATCAACAAGTTTAACACAACATTTGTCATGTTGTAGATGGAGTCTGATCTTGACTTGATGGTTAAAATTAAGTTACATAATATGTATGAAGCATATTCTTAAACATGTTTGAATCGTATTTTCATTTATGTACGTTACTTTTTTTTATTAACTATCTTTCAGTTATGACGACAAAAAACGACACCGATTAAAAGGTAACTACAAAAACTAAACGTGCAGTGTTACGTTGTTACTCATCGTACATAATTAACCCGTGATAAATGAGCCAATAGAAAGCTCCACGCTCCCATACCTTCACAAGAGTCACACATTGAATACCATGAAATCTTTCCTTGTGAAATTGCCAACTCTACGAAAACTTAACTGTGTATCACATGTGATGTATGAGTGTAAATTTATTCTTATTTGTAGTCAAGAAGGAGGCTTACAACACGGAAGTAAATTCCTATAAATTATGGGCAAAACTAACAACTATTCAAAATAAGGCCAAAAATAGGGGTTACAAAGATAAACAAGTTGAGATCACATGTTTTGTTGCCATAATAAACAGAAACATAAGCAAAGGTGTTATAGTTGGGTTCAATGAATTGCTTTTTTTATGCATTAAGTTGTTGAAGTGCTGCTTAATTGACTTAATTAAACAACATGGATTAGGCTTAATTAGAAGCATTTTCCAACAAAAAGAATGACACACCACATTCCAGCAGCTACACTTTTCAAATACTTCTATATGCAGCAATAATGTGGGTCCTATAAATCTTTCTTTCTAGGATCTTTGCCTACTAAAGTACAATCTTGGGTATAATGAGGATTAGAAAGAGAATATCAGAAAATCCACATATGGAGTACTATTTCTTTTAATTACTCGGGCAAAGCCTGATTCATATAGGCGTATCATGGTACATAGGTTTTTATTAAAAGAAACGGAATGAACATATTATAGAAATAATGAACGTATAGCTAGTTACATTGAAAAGAACATATTATTAAAATTTAATGAACATATATCTAGAGTGAAAAGAACATACTATTAAAATGTAATGAACATATACCTAAAGTGAAAAGAGCATACTGTTAAATAATGTTCTTTATTTTCATATTCTTTGATTGTTAGTATAATGTACTTTTATCTGTGATATAATGTTCATTGTTTATTTGAAATGTTCTTTGAATTTTTTCTTTAGATTATGGTGGTTGAATAAAAAAATGTTCACTACATTATATTATCATGTTCTTTAAATATACAAAAATAACATAAAGCTGGATGTTCTTTATAAAACAACAATATGTTCTTTACAAAATAGTTATATGTTCATTACAAAACAACTATATGTTCATTCCGCCTTTTATTTAAAAAAAAATTTAAAAATCCGTATGCACCAAGCATGTTGCATACGCCTCAAGGAAGAAAATTTCATTACTCGGGTGTACAATTTCTGCGAAATATTTATCTAATTGATAGGAGAATATATTATGGAAGATTATTAATTATAAGTATCATACTTATAATTAATAGGCGCGTATCTAATGAAAAATCCATAGGCGTGTATTCAATGGAGGATGTGGTATGTTGGAAAACTTATAAACTGCAATAACTAACATTATTTCTTTATAGATTGAAAAATATTTCAAGGAATTTCATAATTGATCGATTCATGTACAGTGTATACAACACAAGTACACAACAACTTTACCATGTGACTAATTTTAAAGGTTTGTTAAAATTGCAATCCCTTTACCAATTTGAGAAGGAACTCCTTCTAAGCTGCAAACTGCCTAGGGGTGGATCTCATTTGTCTATATTATAGTTTTTCTTCTAGTTGTACCCGAAGTCATGGCTTATCATCTAACAAATTAGGTTTGATAAATGATGACATACAACACACACTAATTACTTTTAAAACACGTACTTGTATATATTTAAACGATTTAGAATAATATAAAAAATTATCAAGTAGGATGTTAAATCTAGTTCAACGTGTATATAGTGGGTGTGTATAAAGTACTTCGTAACAGACAATGTGTAAAAAAAAGTAGGTGTATATATATAAAAAAAAAATGAATGTAACATAAGTATATAAGTATATGAAAATGTGTAATTATTGTGAAATACAATGCAATAATAAAAAAGTATACTTAAAATAAAATTAAACAAAATGGTCAAGGTGGATCATAAATAAGCGACTAAAAATAAAAAATGATTGGAATGACTGAAAACCAAGGGAGTATGTATTTTGTAAGTGCTTGAGTCATATCATTTTGATCGATAGCCATTTGCGAGGGCTTTTCCTCTATAATTTCAGGAGGCCAAAATGCTCTACATGGGACCTAATAGATTAGCTTTTAACCCCACTTGGTTAAACACTTAAACTCAAACGAGTTTTTTATTTTTCCCATTTTAAATCACTATAAAAATTAGTTGATTTAACGATTATTATTAAATATTGATGGTCCACCACTAGTTGTATGACTTGTAAGTTGTAAAAAGACCTTTCCCTTTAAGAGAATAAAAACCAATAAACCCTACTTTAATTAGAAATTAAGTACAAGAAATCTTCTCTAGACCCATAACTTAGGCTAGCTAGCTAGCTAAGCCACTTAAACTACATAATATGTTGAAATTAAAGTATGAATGGAATTTAAAAAGACTTAGAAGTATTTAGGCAATGCCTAAAATAGCTTAGAAATGGCCCACACTAAGGTCACTAACCGTCCTAAGTTGCATGCGTGTTTGACGATTCAAGTAAATTACTACATCCCTCACTTTTCTCCCTTCTATTTTTGTCATTCACATGGGGCATCCGTGCATTTCATTACCTTACTAGTTACTACACGCTCTGCCTCATTTTATTTGCCCTATTAAAGAGTAATCACTAGCATTTTGATTAATAAAAATTAATGAGAAAATAAAATTAATTGGCGCGTGGTATCAAATACAATGAATATAAAGATAAACGACGAACCCTTTATATTCATTTATAAAATGAGACAAACTTAAATGAACAACTCAAAAAAATGGAGCAAAATTGGGACGGAAGAGTATAATACTAAATGAATTTCCTTAACCGTCTCTTCTTTATTAAACCTCTAAGCCCATCATGCCTTTTCTCAACTGAAGTAGATCACTTAAACCCAAAAAAGAACCGCCTCTTCACACAAAGTTGTCCGACTTTTTAGTTTAACCCCTTTATTCACTCACACCTCTTCAATGATATAAACCTTGCTTCCACTTCTTATATTTCACCAAAACTTCACCATATCTATGCATTTCATAGTCAATCACACACTAAATTCAATGGGGAACTTGTTAGGGTTATGCGCGGTAGGAGGCTCAACGTCGAACCAAGACAAGGTGTTACAAGTTATGAATGTCCATGATAGAAAGATATTAGAGTTTAGAGCTCCCATTAAAGTGAAGGATTTGTTGAAAAACTATCCAAATTTTTATGTGGGCTTATTTAAGGAGGCTACCCAACCTTTGCCCTTAGAATATAAATTGGAAGTTGGGAAGATTTACTATCTTCTTCCTTGTTTTAGTGCTACAATACTTGAGCCAAATAATATAGGAGATGTTTCTTCTTCATCATCTCCTATTCCAAAGCCAAGAAATGGTGTTGTAAGGATCAAAATGGTTATAACAAGAAAGCAACTTCGACAACTCTTGTCGAGTCAAGCTATGAGAGTCGAAACGATGCTCTTGGAGATCGGTAAGAAATCGTGTTATCCGGTTGTTATGTCATCGTCTCATTTACAAAAGCTACAGCCTATTGGGGAAGAAAGTGAGTAAGAAATGGATTTTGGTCCTTAGCTACGCACTTTTGTACGTACTTAAAAGTGATGCAAATCATGCAATTGAATGAAGGGGGTGCAAAACTGCAATGGTAGCTTAAGAGCATGTATATAGTAGATAATATAATGAATCTTTAGAACGTATATTTTCATATCAACAAAGATAATCTTCGTCTTTTGAGATTATTGTCTAGATTTAGTAATGAAAACAGGGGAAGGAAACATCTTTTGAGGTATTTAATCCTCAAAATACTTGTAATTTTATTACTTTATATATGTAGTATATTGTACGGCTTAATAAATTTATAATTTCATATGCAAATTTAATTTACTACCTCCGTTAACAGTTATTTGCAACGATTTGACATAAAGTAGAGAGGAAAAATGTCCCATCGTTGCAAATAACTGTTAACGGAGGTAGTATATATGTACACGCATATAATAAAAGTTAGTTTCTCACAATGTAATTTCTAAAGTAGTAGATATTTTGTACAACATAATGCATAGACTAAAGACACAAGTTGGAAGTATATGAAACAATTTTTCTCTACCAAAAAAAAAAAGAAAAAAAAAATCTATCTTCTCATTTTAAAGTGTTTGTAACTACAAAATAAAGCGTTAAAGTATTTAATCACTCTAACAAATGAATATATCCATAATTCTTAAGGGGATTTGCTTAGTGTATTTCCTACGGATGCTTTGCCCTTCATTGCAATAGGGCTTCTCACAATGTGCTTCCCATCAGACCATACCAAACTACCGAAAATATAACCGGTGGGAAGCTGATTAACATCGGCGGAGAAGATGAGCTTAAACGTTAACTCTTGATCCTTTTGACAAAACACCAAAGTCTTAGGTTCCACTACAATCGAAATCTCGGGTGGTGCTTGTATGCTTGCAGTATAGGTACCTGGCTCTCCAACATTTTTCAACTTTCGTGTAGCAGTTGCTGCACCGGTGAACTCAGGAATACTTATGGACGGATAATTGAAGTCCAAGATATTGAATGATTCCGGACACTTGTAATCGTGTTGTTTATTGAACAATTTGAGAAGTGTAGTGTTATAATGGTGTGCACAAAGGAAGCTAAGGTAATCATAGTGATTCATGTCGTAAACTAGGCCAGGGTCCATTGCTAGGTTGGGTTGTACAAGGCCTGCTCCGTAAGCAAATGGTGTGGCCTCACGTATCATATCATCTTCAAAAATTGGCTTATCGTTGTTGTCTACTGAGCTTGCTACATACACCAGAAAAGACACACACAACTGATTACTAATAGATAACATGTGACGCGAAATTTCACTTACATATGCATCAAACTGCTATGGTACACGCGTGTACCCTCACATAAAAAATTGGGAATAGTTAAATGTGAGGGGGTGAACCAAAATGTAGGCACACTCGAGTGCATAATAGATTAATAGATGTTATGTCGTAAGTCCAAATTAAATCACTAATAATTCATTCTAGCATACGTACTTGTAGTCATGATTGCAGATTTGATGGCGGAGGTGGTCCAGAGAGGATACATTTTTCTAAGAAGAGCAGCAATGCCAGTGACATGAGGAGCTGCCATAGATGTCCCGGACAATGGTAGAAATTTATCAGGCAACGGAACGTTTGGAGCTTCTGTATAAGCAGCCACAATACTTACTCCAGGAGCTATTACATCAGGCTATGGTAGTGTGGTAGATCATATATGAGAAAACAGATATTAAGTAAGGTAATAGAAAATAGTAATAATTGAAGAGAATGAAGCAAACAAACACACCTTAAGAATCTCTGGGGTGATTTTGTTGGGACCTCTAGAAGAAAAGTATGCAATTATTGGAGCAGGTTTTATCCCTAATTCAGTTCTTGCTCCAGTAATTGATGCAATAGGATCCCTGTGATTAATACTTCGAAATCAACTTAATCTCTATGCAAGTACGCCACAATGGAAATAACAACATACTCGATCTCTTTGTCTAGAAAAATTGTCATAACTACAGTGATATGATATAACAAAGTAACGTGACAACTAGATCTAAAGTAATATCAAAGGATCAACTCAACCAAAAAGCTTTTATGTAAAGGGGCGTTCAATATAAAACCAATCATGAACACTAAACATAATCTTTTGGTTGAGTTGGTCCTCTGATAATTAAAAGTATGTACGAGTAGTAAAAAAGTGAAGCAGGGGTCGAGGTGAATTCTTGCCTCGTAGAGCTGATATAAGAAAGAAGAGCTTGACCATCATCGAATTTCAATTGAGTGGTAGGGAGAGGATGAATCATATCAGGGAGCATTTTAGATCCAACAAATTGATTATTCGCGATGATTAGGCCGAGAGCTCCAGCTTGTAATGCAACCTTGCTCTTTTCACTCTTCTCTATTATACGACCAGGACCCTCCAAGAGGCAAACTAGAAGCTTCCCTTTCGCCTTCACTGGATCAACAGTTCCATGCTTACAGTATGATCTGATCTAGATTATCGATACATAATAAAATATGATTTTGGACCAAATTTTTAATGCAATAAAAGTGATCAATATAGTACAGTCTTTCAATAGTTTTTATTGAGTACTCACGCTTTAATCTGGTTAGCACCATTTATGCGGGCATTTGCACCGGTGATTAGGGGGTAAAATGAAGTATCATTTAGACTGTTTTTTGCCATCGATAAACCGTGCAGCCTGCATTTATTGATTAAATTCAAACCAATACATTAGTTCGATCTTAAAAGTGGATTGATTAGTGTTAGTTTCAAATAAACTTCTGTTTTTCGATGATACATATTCTCTCATAAGTCTCAATTGTAAACAGGTACCCAGTCTTTGTCACTAGACCAAGGCCTCATCGGTACTTACTTTATTTACCTTTATCTATACTTGGCCACATTATCTCACTATCCTTCTATGCATATTTATGATAAGTGAGGAGGAAAATAAATTAAACGGGAAGGATCGTTACAAAATTAAGCTATAAAAAAGAGTAGAAGATGAATAGAGTAAAAATTACATACCCTAATCGTTTGGTTGTTGCCTAAGACGACACAACATGTAAACTCTCTACCAATAGTACTGGCACCGACGGTGAGCATCCAAGGGGCAATATTGTTAACAGACCCCGAAGATGGTCCACTATTTCCGGCAGTGGCAATGACAAGGATACCGTTGGCCATAGCATGGAAAGAAGCAATAGACAAGGCATCCTTAAAATAAAAATCACCGCCTTTCATGGAATCTTGGATGGTGAATCCTAGAGATAAATTGATGATGTCTACACCGTCGAGAATAGCAGCTTCAACCGCTGCCAAGCAATCCATGAAAGATCCTTCCCCTAGTTTAGAAGCGGCTTCTGGCCATAACACCTTATATGCAACAACTCGCGCCATTGGTGCTCCGCCTTTTATGGTACTATTTTTTAGCCCTAGCATAGTTAAAGACATTGCATCTGCTTCTAGGACAACACTCCCACCGGCAGTGGATAATGTGTGAGTCCCGTGCCCTCCCATGTCACGAGGGCTCGAGTTTGTGGAAAAGGTTAGGTTTTTGGATGATAGAGATTGGACATACCCTTTGTTGAAGTATCTTGCACCAATAAGTTTCCTATCATCAAAAAATTTGATTTAACTCAATGTGAAATGAGGATTGCATTTTTTTTTATAGTAACTTCTTATGTTACACACCATGTCAAACAAACATAATAAACTTCTTAATTCTAACGAACATAATGCATCAAGTATAATTATACTTCGTATGTTGTGGAACAGTGACACCCAAAACTTGTTCATATGATAGACATACATCGTCGAGTTTCTTGTACAAACTTTACTAACCTGTTGCACTTGAATGATGGATCATTATCATTGGAACAATGACCTCTAAACTTTTTGGGGACGATTCCAAGGCCTTCATCCGAGAAGCTCTTGGATTCGGGCCAGACACCTATAACAATTTTAGAACATAATATATTTATACTACGTACTTGATACTTTCATCACCGCGAGACTATTAGTATTTCAAAATACTTATCATTCACAAATTATATTCTAACAATGATAAGCAAAGTATTATACAAGAGAAATTAAACTTGCCAGTATCAAATGCTCCTATGATAATGTCTTCTCCAAAGCAGGCTTTCTCCCAAATAGATTCTTTAGAAGGGATAATTTGGTGCTGAAATGACCCTAAGAAATCCCATGACTGAGTTGTTTGTCGTCTAACATTAAGATTTTCAAAAATCGATATAACATTAGGATGCTCTGCCATAAAAATAATTATAAAAAAGGGTCAAAGTTTTAGATGAAAATTAATTATATGCAAAAAATTTAATCAAAGAAGTATATGTATATATATCTTACTTGCAAGTTCCTCAACCTCCTCCTCATGTAGAATTGCAGCAAAGCCGTTAAATATTTTTGCATAAGAGTAAATTAGCTTTTTCGAAGGGTCATGTCCATTATTGTTCCTAATTAATGTAAATAAAATTTAAAATTAGTGATGGTAGATGTTCAATGTACATTTTTATAGATTGGATGAGAGTACGTTGAAATCTACCTATAGATATGTACCTCTGTGACACATTGGAAATCATTTCATGGTGGGATCTTGTTACATTTGCAGGATCACCTAAGAAAGGACGTCCACCATCGAATGATCCTAAATAAACAATATAATGCTGCAAGAGATAAAGTTAAAAGACTTTACATTTGTCTTCCCCGCAACTAAGAGGGTAACCGAAACAAGTTATCTTTTTTTTCCCCAAATTAACGATTTGATAAATTATATACAATCATTGCCTATTCAAGAGAGAAAAAATGTTGAACTTAAGACTTGCCTTACAAACAGCAACAACAGGTGCTTGCAATAGTGGTAAAAGAAGAATCGATAATAAACTATGTAAAACGATTGAATGCCCCATTATATTGTATTCCTCCTAGTTTTAATTGCTTCTTTTAGTTCTTCTCTTTTTCCTACCCATAAATTCTTGAAGTTTTTTTTTTGTTCTTCATATCAATTAAAAATTTCAAAATATTCAAGATCCATTGTGGTGCTCAAAGATGATTGCAACCAAGAGAATAGGAATGTCTTTCTCTAAGTTTGTTTTCTTCTAACATGTGGATTAGTTTCATAGAACAATTTATTACGGAGTATGATTTCAACCACTAATAATGATAAAGTCTACATTGTAGGCAATCAATTATGCTTTAAACTTGCCAATTTAGCTAATGTGAATATCAAATGGTACACTTGGCACCAAATAGCAGAAGCAGATGTAAGATTACTCCGTATTAACTTGGTTAGACACTATTTATTTTGAATTGTACATATGTATCACTTTATCCTCTAGGACCTCTACTCGTAATTAGAATAGATTGGATTGGGTAACTGGTTGCAAATTTAGCTTGAAAACTTGACTATTGTGTATGATTTTTAAGAGAGTTAGAGACCATACATTTCATCACATTTATAGCTTTTTAATTTGTGATTATCTTCTAGCTTTAGAAATGAATAAAACATATCACTCAAAGTCTCTTGGAGGTAATCAATCCTGTAAATATTTGTAATAATCTTATTTTATATCATGTACATTTTAATTAACCAGTACACATTCTTACATAAAACGCATGCATTGTTGTTTTACAACTTCGATCGTTAGACATTATTCAACTATGACACTAAATTTTTCACTGAATTTGTACGTCAATAACCTTGCGTTCAACCTTAGGCTTAGGAATCGAGATATTAAGAACGCCATTCTTAAGCTCGGCCTTAATCTTATCCAACTCACAGTTATCAGGCAATTGAAGCCTAGTATCATAAGAGCTATAGCTTCTTTTACTCCATGCATCGTCACCTCCTTCTTCCTTCTTGCGCTCTCCCTTGATGACAAGCATGTTATCCTCAACCGATACGTTGACATCCCCCTTGTCGAGCCCCGGCATGTCGAACCTCATCTTGTACTCGTTCTCGTCCTCCATGATGTCCCATGGGGCTCGCATTTCGCCCATCCTAGTTGGAACTGTCATTGTGTCCTCGAATAGGCGATCCATTGTCCAACATTTGGCGCATCGATCTCATGGGTGACAATGAGTCGATCAATCCTGCAAATTTTAATTTTTTTTTGAAATCATTCATTTTCAAGTTCCAAGAATTCTGAATATATGATAGGAATTTAGGATTATAATAGTAACATGGCTTCCCTGTTTCCCCTGCTTTTCCCTGTTTCCCCTGCTTTTCCCTGTTTCCCCTGCTTTCCCCTGTTTTCCCCTGTTCCATATTATTCCATATTTCGGTTTAACAAATTAAAATATACTGTTTATATAATATTTTTTTTAAAAAAAATTAATGTGTATAGCACAATCATATACAGTAGTTATTGTAGAGATAACATGCACAGTATTAACATGTAATGTCAACTAAGTACTGGTAAAATTTCAAAAGGTTGTACACTTGTACGTAAAACTTGTGATAAGATTAGGTACTATAAGTCTATAAGGTACGCATCCACTATTGATTAAAGAAAAAATTGTCAAAAATAATACAAACTTTAAACGGTCTGCCAAAAACAAGTCAATTTTTTTGATTATTTCTAAATAATACAAATTTCGGGAAGTATCCACTTTAAACAAGTTATGACCTGTTAATAACCTAATTATCAGGTTATGTGGGACACGTGTCAATATCTTATTGGTTTAACCATTTAATTTGTTTTTTTATTTTTAAAGATTATTATTATTTTTTTAAAAAAAATAAAAAAATAAACACCACCCATCTCCTCCACCAGCCACTAGCACCACCGGCGCAGCCTCCCTCCTAGCCCCGCGCCAGTCGCGCCCCTCCCCCGGCGCCGGCAACGACCCCTCCCCCGCGCGTTACCCCCTTCCCTCTTTCCCGGCCAGCGAACCCCCTTTCCCAAAACCCTCCCTCCCCCACAAAACCACCAAAAACCCATCCCCCACCCCTGAAAAACCCTAATCGAACCCCTAGCAGCTAGAGAGGTCCGATTAGGGTATTTCGAGGGTGAAAGATGGGTTTTTGGTGGTTTTGCGAGGGACGGAGGGTTTTGGGAAGGATGTTCGTTGGTTGCCGGGGAGGAAGGAATGGGGTACGGTGACGTGCGGGGGGGTCGGCGCCAGCACCAAGGAGGGGGATCTGAAAGCGATCGGGGACTGGGATGGTTTTGGGGGTGCCGGTGGTGGGTGGCTAATGGAGGAATCAGGAGGTGTTTTTTTTTTTTTTTTTTTTTTTAAAGAAAATTTTAAAAAAAAAATTAATTGTTAATTTATTTATTTTTTTGAAAAGTTTAAATTGTTAATCAACCATAATTAAAGTTGTTATTAAGAGTTAATTTCATTGTTAAACAAATTTATTAAAAAGAAAAAATAATAATCGATCATATAGGTTACAGGTAAAATAACTGGTTTAAAGCGGATACTCACCAAAATTTTGAATTATTTAGAAATAATCAAAAGTTTATCTTATTTTTGGCGGACCGTTCAAAATTTGTATTATTTTTAACAATTTATCTTTAATTAATTAGGAAAATGTTTTCAGTCAAAACAAACAGAGCCTTGTAACAAAAAATGTATCATAACAAGAAAGAGCAAATTTAACTTACCAAAGGGAGACATGTCGACGGCAAGCCTTCGAGGGCGGCGTTCGACAGCCGAGGACTGTTTGTTGTTGGTGTTTTGGACTTGTACATCAACATGATGACTACCCTCTTTATTTTGTTCTCCACTTGCTTGTTGCGCTTTTATCACCAAACGTGATCCCAAAGAAGGTTTCTTTGGTGCTGGAAAAGCCACTGAACATGGGCCTAATCCAACTAGTTTGCCAGATGCTGTTCTGCTTAAAACAAGTGGTGCAGGTGATGATGCACTGCATGTAATAGCCTTGCTTGCCATTTTTTAGTACAAGTAGGTTGTAACTTCTCCTTGCAAAATTTCGACAAGTGAATAAAAATGATTCTAACTCTTTTAGATTAAGGTCGAAGTCGACGAGTCGTTTGTGATTGTTGATGTGTTTGTGTTTTGCTGCTTGTTAGAAAGATGAGAGTGAAGTGGGTTTATATTGTAGAAGGAGATGGAGTGTGTTTTTGTTGAGAGAAATCGTGAAGGTTTGAGTGCAACTGTGAAGTTTCTGGGTTCTTACGTTATACGGTGTCGTTTTGTATGTTCTGGTTTTCTCTCCTTTATTCGGGAATTCTCTTCAATTCTTCATTTTGCTAGAGGACCCCCCATATTATGTAGCTAAAACTTTTTTGTCTTTTCTCTGTATTTTGGATATTGCCATATTATCAACTAATTAATGCACCTAAAGAAGAACAATCGAGGTTTAAATCACTTACTAAGACTTCTTACTTTAGATTCTAGCTATAGGTTTATTTAGGATTTAAATCTTGTCAAAAATGGGTGCTTAGGAGTGGAAATCCCGTTACCTTAATTTTTGTCATACTCCATATACTAAACACTAAAAGTGTTATTATAATTGAATAATAAAAGGTATGTTCATTAGCTAAACTTATTAGACATTATTATAACTTATTTTAGTTGTAATTTGAACTTGTCATCAACAATACATATACTTCCTCCGTTTTTTATTATTTGCAACAACTACTAAAAGTAGGTGTTTCATATTATTTGCAACATTTCCAAATCTTTCTATTTTTAGTAATTTTTTAAATGAATTACAAAAACACCCTTACTTAAAACTTTATAACATCAATTACATACTTAAACATAATTGATTAAAAACTAATCTAATCCAATTAAACTTATTTTTATCTTTCCAGAATCATCCATCTACCCCCAAGCCACTCCTCCTTCATCATCTCATCATCTTCCCCATTATCTTTCTCACTCCTCCTTCATCTTCTTCTTCCTCTTCCCTCATAATCTATTTTCTCCATCTTCATCCTCTTCAACATTAACTTTCTTTCTCCTCCTTCAAACACTTTTCATGAATTGAGGGAAGGTGGTTTTGGGTTTCGGAAGCTAGTTTGTGGGTGGTGGGTTAGGTGGTCTCGAGTTCGAACGGTGGGTGTTTTAGGGTGGCGTCGGTGGTGGTTTCGGGTACGAAAGGTGGTTTCGGGTATGAAAGGTGGTTTTGGGTTTCGTGGGTTTCGAATCTGGGTTTGTCCGTTTGTGGGTGGTGGGTTAGGTGATTTCGGGTTCAAAAGGTGGGTGTTTTAGGGTGGCGTCGGTGGTGGTTTTGGGTTCGAAAGGTGGTTTTGGGTTTCGTGGGTTTCGGATCTGGGTTTGTGGGTGGTGGGGTTAGGTGATTTCGGGTTCAAAAGGTGGGTGTTTTAGGGTGGCGTCGGTGGTGGTTTTGGGTTCGAAAGGTGGTTTTGGGTTTCGTGGGTTTCGGATCTGGGTTTGTGGGTGGTGGGTTAGGTGGTTTCGGTGGTGAAGGCTTGGTTGGTGGTTGGGTTTCGGTGGTTTTGGTGGTGTTTTGGGTTCTGAGTGTCGACGGGTTTGGTGGTTCTGGTGGTTATCGGTGGTTTTGGTGGTGGTTCTGGTTTTGGGTTTTGGTGGTGGTGCTGGTTTTGTTTATTAGTTTTTTTTTTATTTTTATATGTAGGATTAATACTTAACCATATACCCTTAATTATCTATAATCATGCTTTAAAAGTTTTGCCTCGGCCTCCGCAAAAGGTACACTTGTTGCAAATAATAAAAAATGGAGGAAATATATGAAGGTTGTATTCATTTTACCTGAACGTATAAACCTTATTAGAACTTATTTTACTTATAATTTGAACTTGAATAATCCTTGTTAGAACTTATTATTCCTAAATTTAACTAAACTATAAGATAAACAAAATAAAATATATACGACAATTTCATGAAATGCCACTGAGCACTTAAAAAATTCATGAAATGTCATCGTGTTTTCCAGAATTCACCAAATGCCACTGATAAACAGTAAAATGTCATGCCATGCCATTAATGAGGTATTTCCTTTAGTTGACCCAACACTTGCCACGTGTCACCTTTTGATTAGCTCGTTTTTTAAAAAAAATTAAACAAAAATTAAAAAAAAAAAAACAAAAATATCTAAAAAAATTAAAAAAAAAAAAAAATTCTAGAAAACCCAGCCCCCACCCCTTCCCTGACTACCTAGCCCCACCGCCCACCAGAAATCCAAACCCAGCCACCACCAATCCCCCCTTACCCCACCAGAAAATCCACCCAAATCCACCTGTCGGCCAGCCACCCCCTCCTCCTGCCCCGTCGCTTCCCCCCTCCTTCCCCTTTAACCACAACCCCCATCCCCGTAAACCCCCTCTCTCTCCTCGAAACAACCACTAAAACCCCAAAATCGCAGCTACCAGTCAAAGTCCGGCAGCACAGCGAAGAGGAGAACGGAAGTCCGGCAGCTTCCCAGCCTCCCACCAGAAAACCCCACTCAATACCCCATTCCCCTCCCCTTTTCGATTTCCGGGCACCCCACCCAAAACACCCTTCCCCTCCCCTTTTTGTTTTCGGCCACCCACCCACCCACACAACCCGAAACTCCATTCCCCTCCCCTTTGCAATTTGTGTGTAATTACTTCTTCTCATTGCAATGTAAGTATTTCCATGTATAATCCTTGCTTCATTGTCGAATTTATACACATTTTTGAAAAATTCGAAAAACCCTTTTGAAAAAATTGATTTGGGGCTTTCTCGTATGATGCTTGTTTGATGAAAATTGTTTGTCCCATGTTGTTGCATTCTTGATTGTGAGCATTTTGATAGTAATTTTGTAGAAAATGGTGAAGAAATGAGCATGTTGGGTTCTTGCTTTCGAGCTTGAACGTGGGTTTTAATGGTGGTGGAAAATGACAGAGAGGGAATGAGAAAGATGGTGGTTTTCTTTTATTATTAATTTTTTTAAAAATTTTGGGTTTTTTTTTAATATTTTTTTTTGTTAAAAAAACGAACCAATCAGAAGGTGACACGTGGCAAGTGCTAAGTCAACTAACGGTCAACCAACGGACACTGACGGTCAACTAACGAAAATACCTCATTAATGGCATGGCATGACATTTTACTGTTTGTCAGTGGCATTTGGTGAATTCTGGAAAACATGATGGCATTTCATGAATTTTTTAAGTGCTCAGTGGCATTTCATGAAATTGCCGTAAAATATATGCTAAGATAAATTAGTTTATTGTTAGTTCGAATGGTACTTATTGTATTGATAGAAATGCCAACTAATAGTAACATGTATTATCTTCTTCACACATCCGTATTGATAGAAATGCCAACTAAATTAGTAATGTGATAGTTAGATCCAAATGATTACTCAAATATAGCACGAGGCACTTACAACCGGCCACCAACAACACCACCACCACCATGTACACGAGCAGGAAAAGTAATCTGAGCACTACAATGGTACAGCACCTCAATCCCAAAACTAAGCATGTAAAGACAATAACAAGCACTAAGCATAGGTACTTGAATGATGCTGCAAGCTCAAATAATTGTCCTTAGATAGTTCTTACTAGCTATACTAGCATCCAGCAACAAGTACCATTCGAACTAACAGTAAAAATACTGTTACATAAATAAAAATTAGCACGTGAAAACCATTAGAGTTTCTCATCAGATACCTCAATAAGAGTACTTTATATAAAGGACATTAAAGCATAGCTCATTCTCTCTCTTTTTCCTTTTCTTTATCCAGCCTTCAATGGTCTCGAGGTACCTTTAATTCCCATACACTCATTCATTTCATTTTATCTTGTTTCTTTTTTTACTATTAGTGAGAAAAAAGACATAACTTGCTTTTGAACCAAACAACCATTTGTCTCACTATAAGAATTCTATTTAATTCTTCTATACTCAGATCCATACATTTGTTTGTAGGCGAAACATTTTACTCTGGTTAGCTCTTTCATCAATGTGGTACACTTATACGAAATATATGTTGTTTAAGAAGACTATATTTCAATGTCTATTAATGTAGCGTTTGGATCATAGGGAAAATCATATAATGAGGGTAAACAATACTCGTACTAAAACTATGAGAATTTCTAGCTTTTACATACCAATTGTTTACATTTTACACTATATTAATGCTTTGTACTCCGAACTTAGAAAATGTAGCCTATACTCCAATTTTTGTTGTTGTACTTGTAAATTTCTATTCTTGTGCATCAAAACCGTCTAGCTCTCCTTAGGCGCATAAAAATTAACAAGCAAACTATCATCTAATTTTCACTCAGTGAGTGTTGCCTGGCCTGTGACATAGATAATTCCGATACAGGAAAAGATTCAATGCAAAATCAAGGATCACGCACGTATCCTCATAGATAGCGGAGCACTTACGCCAATATCTATTTTGTACTACCTTCATCTGAATTTATTTAGCCATAACATTGTCATTCATAATAGACTACTAGTACATGACAATTGATTCCAAATTTAGGAAATCATAGTAAGTGACTGCTACCGTGTGGTTAAATCATAATTCTTCCACTTAATCCACTCATATATGTGAGATGCATATGTTACATACTCATGATACACAATGAGATTATTATTACACACAATCCACTCATTGTTGAGTAAATTCCGTTATAATTAATTCTCAACATGATCTAGTATACTTCCTCCGTCTCTTTCTATATATAACACTCAACACGATCTATTATTATTACTCAGAGACGAACAATTATATGGAGTAATATTTTTATTGATACCAAGTACGTGGTATATCCGTATATGTTAACAAATGACTTTAAATTCACATATCACGTATGTACTCACTAGTGGACCTTACTGTATTTCAAAGTTCAAATCCACAAACCTTCTTTAATCTTTTATTTCCTTTTGCAGCAAACACCCGACAGAAGAACTAGTGCACTTTTTTGTTGTGCAGAATTTGTTTTAAAACAGTAGGCATATTTCAAGTACCAACCTGCTTCCTAATTTTAGTTTACAATGACATTTCATTTAGTACACCCTTCACATTTTCATCACTAAAACAAAATTCTATTTTAACTCTCTCTATATGAATGAATATACCCTAATCACCAATTATTTCTTTGTACCCACTTTTGCATTTTAATAGCACTAACAAAATCAATCTCAAAAGCATCCTAAGCAAATATTACTACTATAACATAAACCTTTAAACTTGCATCAGACAATCAAGTTCTAAGTATGGGGAAGAATGGTGGAAGTTCTTCGTGGTTTAGCGCGGTGAAGAAGGCATTTAGGTCTCCTAGTAAAGAAAAACAGAACAACAGTGATAAGAGAAGTTGTAGAAGTGAAGATCTTGAGCAACAAGAACAAGAAAAGGTGATCATTTTTCATGCATATATACTTAGTTTTTGTTAATCATTTTTATAGTGATTTTTGTTGTGTTTTCGTATTTGATGTAGCAGAGAAGAGGAAAGCGTAGGTGGATGTTCGGAAAGCCCTTAAACACAAATGACGCGACAAAGGTTACATATATTAAGAATCATGCTAGTGAAAATGCTGGTATTGTAACACCAAATGTGGCTGCAGAGGAGGAAAGAAAGAATGCCATCGAGGTGGCAATGGCGACTGCTGCAGCTGCTGAGGCAGCAGTCGCAACAGCTCAGGCTGCAGTTGAGTTTATCAGGAAGACTAGGCCATGCATTTTGGTCAAAGAAAATCAAGCTGCTGTTATCATTCAGAAAGCCTTTAGAGGATATCTGGTAGGTTGGGGCCCTCTAATTTCACCTAGCATTTCTTTGATCTTTTATCACCTGAAATAGGTTTGCATATGTAGTGTCTTTACTGATGTTACTGAATGTGGTAAGACTTCAGAAACTAGTAGTTTGAGGTTCTTAGTGTGCATGCTGAAGCTGAAGTCTAAATTGCTTCATTTTTTTCTTCAAAATCTTGAAAATTGTGGAAATTTATTGGCACAGAATTTTTAATGCTGTCATTATGTTTCTGACTGACTTGGTGTAATCTTGTGTATTTGAACCAAAATCAAGGTTATTTTGTGTTTTAGAATCAATTGAATTACTGATTCACAATTTTGGTATTTCTACAAAGTGCGCGCCTTTCTGACAATGTTCTGTTGTGGCTAAGAAATCTATGTAATTAGGTCCATGGCTCTAGGTTAAGTTGTTTTTTTAAATTATCATTCCGCTTTCTATTGGAATTAACAGGACTAAACCAAGCCCTGTCTCTTCACTTATTCTGAGTGCACTATAACTGATTATATTGGAAATGAGTGTGGATTTTTGACAGTGTGATGTGAACATAGCTTCTTATCTTGAAAATTTTTATATTGTGATGTAAGAAAATTAATAATTTAACCACCTTAGATAAATGTACATTGATATTCTTATTGTTTGTCATGTTTTAGTCCATGCAACACATGGGTTTGAAAGATTAACTGGTGTAAAATGTGAAACCTTCCAGGCAAGACGTGCATTAAGGGCACTGAAAGGGCTGGTAAAGCTGCAGGCATTAGTAAGAGGTCACAATGTGAGGAAGAGAACAACATTGACTCTAACACGTATGCAAGCTATCTTTCGAGTTCAAGCTAGAGTTTGTGATCAACGTCGCAGACTTTCAGTCTCACGCGAGGGCAGCCTCAGTTCCAGTTCTTTCACTGACAAAATTCCCCTGGTAAGTTGAGTGTGTAACCAATTTCAGCTCCTGAGTTTTTATGTTTGAACCTTTTAGTGATTTTACTTGTCCCTGTATGTAATGCAGTCAAAAGACGGCGAATGGGATGAATTTCAGAGTGTTGAAAAAGAAATTGACTCGAGTTCCATCCTTGGAATGACCCAGGAAGATGTTTGGGAATCTGAAAGGGAACTTGCTTATGCCTTCTCTGACAAGGTTCTCCATTTCTTTCTCTGTTGAATCAATTTACTAATGCTGCTTTTTGTGCTTTAGTTTAAAGATGTAAAGAAAAACAAGTTTAGAATTAGATAACTCTTACCACATGTTCACATTCCTTGTACTTGAAGAAATTAGCCCCCTTTTTTTTCTACAAACCCAGGAATCTTCTAAACCAATCAATCCAACCACATGTTTCAAACTTCTCTGCAGCTTTAATTTAATTTATTTTCTTTTTTCGAAAATGAGACGAGATCATAATCAGTTACTATGTGTTCATTTTTGTTCCATTGGCAGATGTGGAAATCTCGCATGAAAGAATCCGACGAAAAACTAGATGGAGCTGTGGATTGGAGGGAAGCCATTCGGTGGGAAAGACCAGGCAGATACTCTTGTGATCAAAGACTGCCCATCAAATTACATCAAGTAGACTACGCAAATCACAGGTCAAGTTTTCACAAAATCAGGGAGAAAAATCCTTACCAGCAGATCAAATTAAGTCCGTATTCGTCTTTCCAAACACCCAAACCACACCAACCCGAACTCAAACATCTACAAGTTCATTCTGCTAGCCCCCGTTGCATGAGACAACAGGAACCAATCTACCTAAAGTCCCAGACACCGCGCTTGAGTTGCTCTTACCGAAACAACACTGCAGTGCCAAGTTACATGGCAGACACTGCATCTGCTAAGGCTCGAATTAGATCACAAAGTGTGCCTAGAGAACAAAGGCCTTCCACGCCTGAGAGAGAGGGAATAGGAATTCCAAAAAGGCGCTTATTTTTCGGATCATCAGAAGAGGTAGCTTCACCATCTTGCAGAAATACTCCAAGGGTGCAGAGATAAGCTGATATTGAACTGTGAAGTCTGACTATAACTGTAATTCTTGTATATTTGATTGATAGTTTGTTTTATCTAGCGTTTCATGGAAGTTGAAGTAGTAACATCATAGGCTGATGCAATTTGAGTTCTGGCTGTATACTCACAAATTCAGTTTAATTCTAGAGATGCAGGAGTTTTCTGACATTTTACAGCAAAATAAAAGGGCATAGTTAACAATATTTGAACTCTTTAGAACTCAGAATATCTAATATTTCTGCAATTCCTGCAACAGAACACCAAGTACTACACAGTCGAATTCATACACATTAAAATACATCTAAGAAAAAATGAAATTAAAATAGCATACAAAATTTCCAGCTGATAAGCTACAACAAACATCCAGCTAATCCTGGATTCCAGTCTACTTGAACCTTTAAACAACTCAAAAGGTGCTTCGACAGAAAAACAAACATACTAATTTAACCAGTGGAATGGCATATCAGAATTTGCCTTGGAGTTATGGCATGTAGTAGTAGTAGGGCTATTGCTCTCACTGCTATCAGAAAATGTAGCTAGAGTTTTCTGAAGAACCCCGGAAGGCGATGAGACTGCAGTTGCCGGTGGAGTGACAAACTCCACCTCACTGACATCAGACAATGCCATATTACCCGGCCGCAGAACTTCGGCCAATGGGCCACCAGGTGTGGTGGATGAAGAAACCCATGAATCAATAAGGCCAAGACCCATATGGATTTGGCACATTTCATCATCAATAACATTGGAATTACCACCATTTGATGAGGACAAAGAAAGTTTACTACTTCCATTGTTCTTATTATTTCCTGCCATACCTATTGACCAAGCATCAAACAAAGGCCTCTCTAATAAGCCCAATTCATCAGATTTAGTAGGATTGTGACCAGATTGAGAGTTCAAATTCAAGGGCTCCCCTTCAAATTGTTGCTGGAAAACACTGGAATTCATGTTTGTCTGCACTAATTGATTCCATTGTTGCTCATCATTCCAACCCAAATTCCTAAAAAACAAAAAACATACATAATTTAGACAAAAAAACAATGGAATGGCATATTAGACAAAAAAACAAACATAATGTGAATAATTAGACAAAAAAACAAACATAATAACCATGATTAAGAAAACCCCACCTAGAATCCTCAAAAGGGTTAGCAGGAGAAACCAAGGAATGATCAAAGATGGAAGCTTTAGAACAAGATCCAACGCATTGAGGTGGGTTTAAGGAAGAGGAGTCATCACTCAAACGAGTTTTCTTAGCAGGGGTAAAATTGTCTTTTTCTTTATTGTCGTTCGAGAGATTGGAGAGAGAATGTTGATGACGTTGTTGTTGTTGTTGAAGTTGTTGTTGTTGTTGTTCCACATGCTTTCTTGAACGGGGGCGTCCTCTATGCATGTGACGCTCACAGTATTTTTGGTTAGGCGCTACATCCCTTGAGCACCTCCATTTCTTCCCATCTGTTCTTCTACATCTTCCTGGCTCTGCGTCTTTACTATTTCCACTCCACCTCATGCTTATTCCACTACCATACTTTCCCATATCTGCCCTTCCACCAGTTACCAAACATAAGAAAACATGTCATGTTAATACTCGGCGTGACATAAAACTTGTATACAACGGATGTATTACAAACAACAACACGGACAAGTAATCACCCCCAAATTACATAGAGAGTCACCCCAGCGCAAAGTTGGTCTTCATGTAATTTGGGGATGTATGAATGAATACAAGGTTTGTTACATGTAACAACATACGCAAATACAGTCACCCCAAATCACATAAAAGTCCAACAGCCACGAAATTGATATTCTTGTGATTTGGGGTACATTGGTACATAAAATCTTGTAAACAATGTGTGTTACATACAACAATAGACACATAGACCGGTTAGTCACCCCGAATCACATAATAGTCACCTTGGTGCCGAAGTTGATTTTTATGTGATGTGGGGATTTATATCAATGTACATGTAAAAAAATAAAACAAGCAAGAGAAAAGTAATTAGAGAATAAAGTGACATACAATAGGAGGCAGGGGAAAAAGTGGAAGGATAAGAGAAATTGGTGGGGAAAGAAGAGTAGAGAAGATCAGGAGGAACAGGAAGAGATGCCATCATGTACTTGTAAATCATTGCTTGTCTTTCCAATTCTTTCCATTGTGTTGCTGTAAATGGAAACCCCATTGTTGCCGTAGCGATTCCAACTGCAACCATTTACATTTTCTCTAAATTAATTAACAAATAAACACAAAAATACCAAAAATGGGTGAAATTGCTCTGTTTTCAGTAAAATTTTATCGATATTTGACAACAGACAAATTTGTAAAGTTTTCGTTTATGTAACCAAGACAGTAAAAGAGGGATTAAAATACAAAATTGAATTTGAAAAAGTGTTAAAAATCTAATCTTGATCAGTGGGAACAATTAAAAATTGGATCTTTCTCTGTTCTAATAAGTAATTATCACCCAAAATTGCTCTGTTTCAAGCAGTAAGAAAAACCCAGAAAAACATTCTAAAGTTCTGATCTTTTCAACAGAAAAACAACAATAAAGTCAACAAATGTACAAAAAAAAATGCTGTTTTTTTCTATGAATTCATAAGACAGAATAAAGAAGGGTAAAAAAGTATTAAAAATAAAATACCTGAGGATTTGTAGAAAGGATTTGCAGAAGTATAATAGGAAGAAACATCAAAAGGCTGCTGCAACCCTCTTACAACACCAGTAGTTGTAGTAGTAGAAGTAGAAGAACAATGAACAGAAGAAGGGGAATTATCAGCTACAACAGGACTACAGTAAACAAGTGGAGTATCACTGATCATCATGTTATTGTATCTGGGCCCACCATTTCCATCACCACCATTATTATCATGATCATCTCTTCTTGTTTGATTGTTCAGAAATGAACGGTCCTGATCTTGCTGATTTAGTTTCAGACCCAACTCAACTACTACAACTTGTTCACCATTTTCAGAATTCTTTTTCATACTTCAAAATTTTTTTCCCAAAAAAAATAAAAATTCAATTTTTAAGTTTTTTGAGTTTCTATTCTATAAGAGGAAAGATTGAAACTTGCTTTTATAGAAAGAATAAAAATTCAATCTTTAAGTTATTTTGAAGTGTTTGAGATTTGGGGGTTTTTTTGAAATGGTTGAAGAAAGAAGGGAAATGAATTAATAAATAGAGAAAATTAAAGAAATGGTTGCCGCCATTCTTGGCCTTTGATTTGCTTCCATGCTTCCAACATTCTTACCATTTTGCAAAAAGTACTCTTTCTCTCTCTAAATATATGTAGCACTTTCTCTCTCTAGATACATGACATAATTGCGATGTTTATGTCAACTTGTGAGAAAATCTTTTTAAATAAAAATAAATAAATAAAAATAAAATTGAATTAATTAATTAATTTTTTGAGTATTGATTTTTTTTTTTTTTTTTTTGACAGAGATATTTTTTTGTTTGAAATGCCACGCAATGGGAGAGGACTATCTTTTATGCATGTTGCGCCGTACCGAGGCCCCTTATTAGATTTATTTTTAAATGATATAGGGACTTGAGCCTAATATTGTAGGGCCCCCTCCCCTACAACATCTTATTTTAAAAATATTTTACCTATAAATTATTTTACTATTACTCCTTTTACAGTTTTACCGTTGCTTATTTATTGGAGTATAAATGCATTTAGGAAAGTGATTATAAGGGAAAGAGTAACAATTACCCCCTTTGACTAACAAAAGTATTGGTCTAATAGGATTGAACAATTTTAACCTCGAGGTTGGGTATAATTTTCACTGGCCTTTTACATTGTAGGTCAATTTTCTTAATTTGGCTTCTTGTACATAGACTTTAAGATTGTAGGGTTATATTTATCATTTTCAACAAAATAAGGTTTTTTGTCAATCCCACATACACTTAAAGAAAATTTAGTTATTACAAGTATTACGGATTAGGAAGGGTATTACAAATGGTAGTATAGCAACTCGACCATAGTACCATGATAAACTTATATGGACTTGGAGATTAGATTTTAGATAAATGGGGATATTGGAGGAACAAGGTCAATAGATTAGGATTTTGTGGCTATTATTATTGTCAAGTATAACAAGATCATATCGACATTGATGTCTTAAGATGTTTAGAAATTTTTCCTTTGTTTATAATTTATCATCGCTTCATAACTCCAAAAGCAAGTTGCAACCAATAATTTTCTTTTTAGGGGTCAATTTGATAAATGTTAGGCTATCTATTTGTTAGAATGCTTAATATAAATTCGAATGTTGGAATTAAACTTTTAACATATGTATTTGAATTAATATTTGAATTCAAATTTATAAATTTTATATGATTTTGAATTTTATTTTTAAAATATTAGGAAATTCAAACACAGAGTTTTTTTTAAAAAATAATTTTGAATTATTACTTATGATTTATGAAGTTTATCTATTAAATTCTTACGAAAAGTTATGAATTAATTATTAAAATAGATATCAAATTTTGTTGGTAAGAATACTCCATAAGAACTGGCTTAAATTTGTGTCATTTTAACAATCATGCAAGTAAAATTGTAAAGGCATTAGATATACTACTATGATCTAATGCAGTATTAAGTTAATAAATTGTGACAAATCATACTTCATGTTTCGGTTGAAAACAATGGGACCTTGCCGAAGGTCCACTGAAATGGAGAAGACTGGATTCGATCCAAGCTGTGTTGGGCCGAAGGTTTCCTGCACAGTGAACACACGTAAACTAGCCTCGGGGGTGTTTCCGAGGAAGGCCCCTCCGATGCTAAAGTCAGTACAATGTGTAAAAAGGAAGACACTATGCAAGAGAGTTTGTAGCTTGAGGCTTTTGTGGAGTATTTCTCAATGCAAGAATGAGCATATGAATTGGAATAATCAGTGTATGAGATAATGTATGTCATGTTGTATGTGATCTCTCTTTGAATGTGTTAATATGAGGGCTTTTATACCTCATCATACTTGGAGAGGTTGGGCTTTAGCCCAATTGGCTTACTTTGTGGGCTGACTTTTGACTTTTGAGCAATTGGAGAGTTGAACCTTGACCTTGGGCTTTTAATTGGATCATTTAGTGCTCAGGCCCAATTTTGACTAAATTGGACCCAA